AGTGTGACATCATAATTGCACCTAGATTGAACAGGGTTCCCCATATTTCCCTTGTGGTTTTAAGCATCACCTTTCGGTTGCCAATTGGGTGGGGGAAAATACAGGGAAGACCCAGCATACCACTTTGGAGGCTCCAACTCTGGCCTCCTGCGCGGAGCTCGACCCCGGCACCTCGCTGGTGCCAACCGACGCTGATTCACAGAAACGCACCAAACCACTTGTGGCCGTGTCTGTGTTTTGGGGACCCACAAAATGAGGGGTTGTCCTTTTGGATACCCTTTAGAACCTCCCAAGCAGGGGGTACCCTTAAAACAAGCTTTGTATGAATGGAACCTCTTTGAACATGGGCTTTTTGGGGCAACCCATGCTCATTCGGGATTCGGGGAGTGCCCCAAAAACAATTCTGTGGACTAAAAAGCGTTGTGCAAACGTGCCCTCGCAGCTATTCCACCGTGTTCTTCTTCACATGGGGAAGGCGCCAGCCCTTAGGACTCAGGTGGCCCGAATCAAAAACCACAAAATCCAAGCCCGAAACAAAAAAAATGCCAAAGCTTTACTCACAAAGTGCCTCAAAGCTTTGTGTGTAAAGCCCAAACTGCGGTTTGTGCCACGCCTTCGAACTTCGAAGCACGTGTGGCATGGTCAAACATTCCTTGAATCACCACCCGCACCACCTGAAACACGGTGCCTCCCGGGTGCCAGAGCGCAGCTGCTCCCTTGCCTGAGTGAAGGTCTGAGTCTCGGGTGGATGTGTCTGGTGGTCAAGAGGTTGTGTCTTAACATAGGGGGAACACCCCAACATCGGCGTGTTTTCCTGATGGCTTCTCTTTCGTTCAAACCAAAGGAAGAGTACCCTCAAAACATGAGACATGTGAGCCAACATGGGAAGCTCTTGCAAAAACATGAGAATCAGCCAAGCTGGTTGGACATCGGACATGTCCCATGGGCCAATGCAGCAAACTCAGGGACCTAGGAAGCACAAGGTGCCAGACCGCACAAGGCATAGATTCTCCGCTCCCATTCATTTTTTCACGGAAGGACACCAAAACGGAGGCCATTTCCTAGGAGATTCCGTTCCTAGAAATGAATCGGCTATCTTGGGTTCCATAGTCCAAAAACGGGAATGCCCCAGCATCAACGGCACTGGGAAATTGAGGGCTCACCATGTCCCCCCTCAAACCACTCTTGCCTAAGCCAACCCAAGACCTGGCCACAAACCCAAAGCCGGCCTAAAACCACCCAACTACCCTAAAGCAACCCAAAACCAAGCCACCACCCCAAACCAACCCTAAAACCAACCCAAGACGAAACAATAACCAATGACCACCCCCCTTTCCCACCTGCATGAGAGCGGTGCCCAGCACGTTCTTCCCCTGCCACTGGGCTGGATCCCAAATCCTGGGGTCACCTGAGTGGCGAAAAATCTGGGCAACTGTTCGAGTGGGCAAGAACAATGGCGCAGACTGGGGGAAATACTGGTATAATTATTTTGGGAGTTGCTCGCCCTTGGCGTGGGGACAAACTCTGTGGGAGTTGCTCGCCTTGGCGTGGGGACAAACTGTTTGGGAGTTGCTCGCCTTGGCGTGGGGTTGGCTGAAAGGGAAACCCCCAAAGGCGAACCACCTCTTCCTTTGTCTCTTTCTGTTTTGTGTTGGGGGGGAGGGGGAAGGGCCTAAGAGAAAACACACACCCTATGAATTCCAGAAGAAGGGACCTTCTTTCCTGAGCTCCTTGACCCGAAACGAAGCTGCTGTCGAGCGGCTCTTGCTGAGGCCAACTCCCCAAATGGCATCGTTGGGAGAGGCCTGCGCTTGCGCCCGCGATTTCCACAAGTGACTTGTAGCATTTCTGTAGCATTCCCTGTACTGCCATGCAGACATGTTGCATTCTCAGGATTGGAACATGTAGATTTCTCCCTTTCCAAGAAAAGCCTTGCTCAGCTCCCTGGTTTTCATAACACAAGTCCAAACTGATCCGCTGCCAAAAGTGAAGAACTTGTGGGTCAAACTCGGAAAACCCAACCAAACATAAACAATCCAATGACATGTCCGTATTTCACCAAACAACGCATGCTAAGAACAGCGACGAAGTGCAGCCCAGCCATTCATGCTAACATTCAGTTGGGAATTGCCACTGACACTAAACATCTTTAAACTCTGATGCGGGCCTTCGCGACTTTCCCTAATTAGTCCCGCGCTGTCGGCAGAACCAGTTTCCCACAAAACAAACAATCTGAATTCCAGTTCCAGCGCACTTGAAAAGCATTTGTCGCATTTCCGGATGCGTTCTTAATCTGGGCGCCTACAAACACCTTCTCCAGACCCTCTGTCTGAGGTTTGACCTTCCGGGGCTGGAGAGGTTCACCCGGCAGGGCCTCCACGATTAGCTTGTTGCCTGTCTTCAGCAGAAGTTGCCGCAGCGCTGATGAGGAGTTGAACTTCTGGTAGACAACTTGGAAGGCCGTCTGGCGCAGACATCTCGCAGTTGTTACAGCTCTAGGGGCTTCTAGGGGTAGGGGGTCTGGATTGCATTCTGGACTTCGATCTGGTGTTTCTGAACTTAGACTGGAATGGAATTAGATCCTGATTTTTCATATGGGGGTGGTTTTATTTGGGGCACCCCTTCTTCGGCTAGGTTTGAAGGGAGCCAAAAGGAAAACCATCATTTTGGGGGGTTCCCCAAAAGACACACCATGGGTGGATTCGTGTTGCTACCACCTCTTTGCGACGCCAGCTGACGCCTGTCTTCAAAGTCCAAAGCTTCGGTTCCACGCCTCCTCCAAGTGCCGGTTCCAAACTGCGCCATCAAAGTTCCTCACCTTGCGGCCGAGGGCCTGCGGCTCAGACGCGGAACATCCCAGAAAAGGAAAAACAACAAACAAAAAACAACAACGCGGAAACAAAAAAACACAACAACGACGACGACGTCAACGACAACAACCACAACAACCACAACAACCACAACAACCACAACAACAACAACCACAACAACGACAACGACAACCAACAACAACCAACAACACCAAAAACAACCACCGGAATCCTCTTTATTCTGGCTGAAAAAAGGAGCTGAACCCTCTTTATTCTGGCCGCGAAAGGAGCTCTCGTGGATTCTCGTGGCCCATATTTTTGCTTCAATCCTCACTTCCCGAGGCTGGCCAAAAAAAAGGAAGCACTGGAACTGTTGGTTGACCGCCAACATGGTCTTTCCCAAAAAATGAAGTCAAGGAACTCAGGGAGTGAGTTTCCCTTAAGCGATGAACAAACATGCGCCGAAGTATTGCGGGAAACTCGCCTTTGCTTGTCCTGGCGTATTGGCCTTGACGATGAGCTCAAAGTTCCTGAGTGACAGGATCTCTGCACCCATAGGTGTCCTGTTTGGTTGTGGTAGAAGATATCTGGCCCTTCCAGTGGATTAACTTACCTCGTTAAAGGTAGGTAACTAAGGGAACCACCCGATTTCAAAACGAAACCTAGAATAGCCGGGTGCCTACCATGTGAATCAAATTGCCTGTGTTTGTCCAGTGCTGGAAAGAAAGCTTGAGCCTTTGCTTTGCCGGGACTGTTGGCATTGATGAGATCGAAGTTCCTGAAGCCACAATGTTTCGCAGGGTCTTTCTCCCAAAGGCCATGTCCATGCATCTCTTCGTGCACACGTGGCGCACACTATATATATATATATATATATGCAAACAAGCTTCGCTTTGTCGCCGAACATGGCTGCCTTGACCGCCATGATGGCTGCTTCGCTGAAGCTGATGTAGATCGTCTCTGGAAAGCCCGGCTTTCTGGCATATTCCGGCAAGGTGAAGGGAATCTTCACCTTATGCTCCCAGAAGTTGCTGAATTCCTCGGAGCAACAAGCATCAAGGGTGTTTGAGAGTCAAGTTTGCGGTCATATGGCCATGGGTCAGCCAGTGAACATCCCAATCCCCACTAAAATGGACTAACATGGGTGGTGAATTCACCTACCCCAAAATGGGATCCCATTGCTTTTGACAACCACAGCCACATCAGAGCTGCTACAAGCATGCCTTCAGTCACAATTGCCCTCCCGAAGGTTGACCATCTATAGAAAATTTGGCGCTTTGGGGAGGGCCCGACAGAGGTGGTTTTCCTCTTGGTTTCCCTGTAAACCAACCCCAAAAGGGGGTATTCCTACAAAAGGATGCACCCCTCTCGTGGTTTCCTTGAAAAACCAACCCCAAAAGCGCCAAAAGGGGGCTCCTGAAACAAGACGCACCCCTCTCCTCGTGGTTTGCCTGTAAACCAACCCCGAAAAAAAGAGAAAAAGGCATGCCCACTGCAGCTCCACCTGCAGCCCAGCTGCCGCGTAGTCGGCCTTCTTCGCATGGCCGTAGAAAGGCAGCACTTCCACCGCCATCGATCGGATCGATCCGGCTGAGGCCGGCTGAGCCACAAGTGAGCGCTGGCTGCAGGCGGCAAGCGCCCTATCTCAGCAACTTGGCCACTTCGGTGTGTGTGTGTGTGTGATATGCCTTTTTGTTTGCTGTGTTGTTTGTGTGTGTGTGTGTGTTTTTTTTTTTAGAGGGAACCTTGAAAATGCTGAATTTCCGTTGGCCCTCCTTGAAAGCACACAAAGGAAGGTACCTCCGGTGAAGACACACAAAAACAAAAACTGCCCCAACCCCGAAACAGGCACCCTTGTCTCCCCACTTGACACTCAGCCGGCATCTGGCGAAGTCATTTTCCGCCAGCCAAAGGCTCAGCCAAAGACTTCAGCAACCACCTGGCAAAAGAAAGCCGCCCCTTCAACAAAACGGCACCAACAAGTGACCACGCGACTGGCCCGTTTCAACCGGGTCGATCACCCTATGCTAGAAAAAGACAAATTTGACTGTCCGCATGGGTAAACCCATTCGGAACGGGTCCCAAGCCCATTTCGGGCAAAAACTGCCGTGTAAAGCTTTTATGAAACAAGGTAGTGCTGCTCAAATGGCCAACAGACGGGGTGTTTGACGTCGCTCCTTTCCACGGGCCTAAATCCGCTCCTTGGATATCTGCTTAGGGCATAAACATTACTACAAGGAAACCAACCCTCCTACCCTACGTCTAACCCACGGTTGTAACCAACTTGCCAAGTATCAGCTTCCTCTTGGTGCGGATTGGCGGGATCTGAACCCGTTGAACCTCTGGTTGAGGTAGAGGGTGGGACACCACCCCTAACCACCGATCCAGTTCTAAGGGGTGAATAAAACCCAACCACCGGGATCCACAGCACCGAGGCGGGATACCTGAAAGTAGGCAAAAATCGACCAGCACCAGGGTCCCAACCACTTATGTGTTGTTGCAGTACTTGGGATTTTGGACATGGAAGTTGAGCCAAAGGTCTTTTTACATAAAGTGGCAATTGTTTGCAAAGCCACTTTAAAAGAAATGCTACAGTACGTCCCATGCGCAAAAGTTACCTATGGTCAAGGTGTATGGAAACGGGGGGGGGGGGGGGGGGGGAAACCGGGGTAGGCCCCCATTCTTTCCAGGGATCCTTCTTTTCAGGAAACCATCAAAAACCCCAGGGAAACAGCCGGGTGAAAAGAACGATGGTTGAAAATGGCTGGAATTAACCCCTAGAGCAATTGGAAGATTGATCAACCCCAAAACCATCGCAAGGTGGCCTTCCGCAAGTCCGGCGAAGCCTTCGGCGACAGCTGCTTCCTAGCAAGGCCCATGGATGGCCACAATTGATTCGGCCCGGTGGCCACCGGCCCCAAAAAAGTCAACCGGCTTCTTTACCGCAAAACGGTCATACCAAAAAGTTGAAGGTCCAGGAACTTAGGGAGTGAGGCTGTAAAGTGTTTATCATCGATACTATACCCCTAAACAAATCAGGCCGAACCACTGCTGAAACGGCCGAGAGGGGTTTTGGGCGCTGCTCTGGGCCTTAGAGAAATATATTATCAGAGAAAAAAAAAGGCAAGTCATGCATGGAAAGGTTGCATGTTGTTTGCCGGAAAAGCAGTTGAGCCGACCAAACAACCATGTCCGTTGCTAGCGCATTTCACTGGAGGTCGATCACCGAGCAAACCAAACAAGCTTGCGCAGCTCCCGTAGATTCTGCTTGATCAAAACTTCTATATTTCCTGGGAATCCTCATTGTCAAAACCCAGAAGGACATTCCGCAATCCTCGTGTTCATTGTTCTGTGTCCTTGGAAATCCTCCTGGTCAAAACCCAGGAGGACATTCCGCCTCTGTTCGAATCAACCTTGGGCTTCGGCGCGAAAAACCGCCCTGCCTTGCCCAACGGCACTTCCGCAGGATCTCCAGCCAGCCCTGCGCAGCGCGGCGGCGGGGCGGTTTTTGGGCCAACATCTGAAGCGATTCGGGTCTCAGGAAAGCCCAAGAAAACAAACATGTTCAAACCGGCTGGCCCAACTCTGCGTGCACCTTGGTACGTTTTGCGACTGCTATTCGGCCGTATTCAGCCTCCTCCGTCAAGCAGCTGGCAATGTTGAATCCTTCCTGGCATGAGCAACGGCTCATATGGGCATGAACTGAATTGGGCATGGACCCTTTGTGGACATCATTCAAAAACATGGGGACGACCATGAAAGGTCATAGAGCCAGTTTAACCCCCCCTTTGGACACCCCCAACTTTCGTTTGAGTGAACATGACCGCAAAAAGCTCGATTCCTACCGAAAGCGCCCCAATACCCCAGGATCCGGCGATTCACAGGTTTTTGGCGGTGTCCTCAAAATCCAAAAAGAAGAAGGGAAAAAAACGAGTGAGATGGTGTGTGCACTAGTAGGTAGTGCTGGCGTTCTTTTTAATCCGGGCAAAGTGGTGGTTTAAAGGGCAACAACCGGGAGCCGACAGCGGGGGCTGTGGAAAATGACCACTTCTGTGATACAACAGAAAGGGCTTCCCAAAAGACTACCCCCCCAATACAAAGGGGAAGATTGCCTAGCATCACAGAAGTGGGGATAAACCGCGGGTGATCCCACAACCCTGCAATCGACTAATCAATCAATCAATCAACCAACCAACCAACCAACCAACCAACCAACCAACCAATCAAGCAAGCAAGCAAGCAATCAAATCAAATCAAATCAAATCAAATCAATCAATCAATCAATCAATCAATCAATCAATCAATCGATCAATCGATCAATCAATCAACCAACCAATCAACCAATCAACCAATCAACCATTGCCAACCAACCAACCAACCAACCAACCAACCAACCAACCAACCAACCAACCAACCAACCAACCAACCAACCAACCAACCAACCAACCAACCAACCAACCAACCCAACCAACCAACCAACCAACCAACCAACCAACCAACCAACCAACCAACCAACCAACCAACCAACCAACCAACCAACCAACCAACCAACCAACCAACCAACCAACCAACCAACCAACCAACCAACCAACCAACCAACCAAACCAGCTGACCGGGGTTAGGCCCCAGCTGCTACTAAAAAGCCAACAGTAACCTTGAAAGGGGGAGATTGCCTGGTATCACAAAACTGGATGGATAAACCCCGAGTGATCCCATCAACTTCGAGAACCCCTCCTTGAGAGAAGTCCCACTCCCCCACTTTCATGGCCGCCGCCTTCTCAGGGTGCTCCACGTAGAGGTGCGCGGGCAAGCCGCCGCTCCAACTACTCTTGCGGCGCTGCACCAGTCCCGTGCGGATGGAGATGCGGCTGCGGTTGCCTCGGCGACTTGTTGTTTTTGTTTGACTAACAAAATCCGCGGGCCGGTCGACGTATCCCAGGCAATATGCGTTATTGTTTGTACTTGTTCCGTGGACAGAATCCGCTTTTCGCACTCGTTGGTGTATCCCAGTCATACTGTGGATGGACAAAATGCTGTACCAGTTGGTGGTGCTTTGTCCGAACCTTTGCAGGGTTTCATCTATCCTAGGTGCTGGACTTCGTCCATCCACAGTATAGGGCTTCATCCATCCCATGTCTTGAGGGAATATTGGGTTTGTTGCAAAACATGGGGGTCCACGGCTAACCTCCCCTCGGACACCAGTCCCAGCTTCCCGCGCGCAAGCTGAGCGGACGGCATGCTTCAACGAAGGCAAAGAACCTGCCCGGAACCGCGAACAAGGTGACAGGCTTGGCCCCCAGCCGTTGTTAAGCTTGTGTAAACCACTTTTTTTCAAGCAACCTGCTTTGAAATTCCCTGAAAAAAAGGAAGCAATTGTTGATTGGTTCAGCAAGCTTTGCGAACAAAACGCACCGGCTGTGCACAATCAATCCTGAAACAATCGCTCTCTCTCTCTCTCTCCCGCTGTCTCTCCCTCCCGGTATCCCTTACTTCTCCCTCTGTGGGGAATATGTGTTGATTGCTCCTCCTTTCGCCTCAAACACCTAACCTTGCCCGTCTGTTTAACATAACTCTTCAGCAAACCGTTTTTTTCCTTGGTGTATGTTGTATAACATAGTTTTAATGTGTGAAAGGCAAACACTGCCTTAGACAAATATAGGCTTACAGTAGCACAGTATTGATGGAACAAGTTGCTGGAAGGAATTCTTCAAGATGCACTCAATCACATAACCAAAGTCATTCAGACCGAAGACAAGCCAAACGAAGCACGCATGATTGAGGACAAGTTGTCGTGTGCGTCCTTAAAATGCAACATCCGTGGTATCTTGAACGCCTATTGACAGACAGGCATATCTGGGCATGCAAAGCATACTGAATACACCTAGCCCTGCCCCATACTCACTTTGTGTGGCTTATCATACACAATGGGAATAGTCAAAAAAAGAGGCTGGGTTGGGCGCTGCAGTCTCTGCCAGGAGAGTATCGATCGATCTAACCTCTGCAGCCAACGCAGCATCCAGCTCTCTCCGTGCCTCACCATAAGGCCCACTGTGAGCTGCAGGGGCCACAACCTCGTCGCCTCCAAAGGCGGCTGCCAAGCATCTTTTTGCACACGATCGCAGGAGTTTGCACATTCATTGCTCAGAATTCAGCTATATGGGGCTCAAAATTAAAAACAGGAGGGGCAAACCGCAGGTTTTGGGCCATGTTTCCACTTACCGGGATTCCATTTTGGGTACCGGTTTTTTGAGCCACAGCCACAGTCTTCCCGAAGCCTTGTCCCCGCACGGCAGGTAGCGCTCGCTTTGCAAAAAGCAGACGGCCAAACAGATCCAGGACCTCAGCGTCGGGTGCGAAGCTCGCCGTGGGTCAAAAATATGTACCCAATGTGGAATCCTGGTAAATGGAAACATGGACCAAAACCTGCAGTCCCCTGGTGGTTTACTTTTGACCCATACCCAAATGGGTGGGGTTTCCCTTTTCAGCTTGGTCTGAAGGGAAAGCGAAAGGAAACCAGCGGGTTGCCCGTTTCGGCATCAGCTGCGAACGCCGTGAGAAACAACTCAGAAGTGGAGCACGAAACAGAGGTGGCTCCCGCGACTCGCTGAAAAGACTCCCAAGCTCTAGGTTGACAATTGCCCGGTTATTTTACCATTCTCAAAACTCTGCAAGTGCAGTTCTTCCATCCACCCCATAACAGAGTGTCTTTTGTAGGGGACCCCCCAAATTCTATGTCGTCTTTTTGTTGTCCCTTTGGTTGCCTTTAAACCAATCAATTGGGTTAACCCAACAAAGGTCCTGTACCAACTCAAAACAAGGGCCTAGGTCCTCCAGTAAAAAGGTTCGAATAAGCATACCCTTTTTCTGCAGTCTATCTTAGTAGGGGAACCCTCCCCCAAAAAAGTTGGTAAAAGGGCACTACTGGGGGACCTAGCCCCTGGTACCGCAAATCCCGGCCGAAAATCCCAAGCGGGCGCCATGCGACGTGGAGTTCAAGAACCCTCCGAAGGCATCCACCAGGCCCTGCTTCTTGGAGAAGGCCTTCCTCGGCTTTTCCGGCTTTCGCCTTTTTCGGGTGGACAAAAGTACGAGAACATATGGCTGTGGGTCAGTAAAATGTACCAAAAGGCACTGTGGCAAATGGAACCAGAGACTCAAAATCTGCGTAACCCTAGCTCTTTAATTCTGAGCCACACCCATGATGTCCACTGATGGACTCCAACGTTCCAACCAGGGGGCAATAATAAACATATATGTACGTTTCAGCAAATGGAAGTCTCTTTTCCACGGGTGAGCCGCCTGACGAGAAGGGTGCTGATTGGCTCTGGGAACTGGGTGTGATCAAAATTCGAGGCCGGGGCTGTCTCAAAGGAATTGGAACCCAAGGCTTCGGCTTCCTCGTGGTGTCCCTTTAAACGCCACTTGAGTGACACCGCTGGAAGAAAAAAACAAACCCCACCCATTAAACATGAGTGCCTTGAAACTCCCATCGTGGAGGCCCCTAAGATCCGTCACTAAGGAGTGCCCAGCCTGACATCACTAACCTGGTGTCAAAAGATTACTAAAAAGAACCAACAGGGGCAAGAACAGGTCAAATCCACGAAAAGCGCATCCAAACCGCTTCCAGATGGCAAACAAACATGAACTGAGGCCCGCCTCTTAGAGGCATCTGCCGCAGAGTTGCCAGAAGTTACATTGCAATACATTTTTCTTTGCAGCCTTCTGCCTATCAGCGCAGCATCCCATACGATGTCATCTCTCAACCTGGTCCTGCAAATCAAAGGGACTAGCGGCCTCCAAATGGTACGTTGGGATCTCTTTTCTGCCACGGTGGTGAGTAACTCGCATTTCTTGAGTCATAATACCAGAATATTGGGCTTCGCGCCATGTCATCACCTTTAACGTGGATGTTGGCTCAAAACCAAGAGACTGCCTTTAAATGGGTGGTTACCTGGCTTCCCTATTCAACCAGCCCGTTCCCACCAATGAAACCCTCACACCCACACACTGTCGATGGGCAACATTCTACACCACCTGGGATGGATAAAACCCTACAACTACTGGGATCACGGAGCCCTGCGGGGGTTTCGATCACCGGGATGCCCGAAAAACTGAAACATTTAGATTCCCCAAACCCACCTCCAAAGATTGACTCCCGCGGCCGCGGCTTTAACTTGCTGGTGCGAGAGGTTGGGAATGACCAAGTCCGGGTGTTGGGAATGAACCATTTTGTGCTTTTTGAATCAAGGAAACCATTGGATGGTTCTTCCTGGGGCCATTTTCTCATTCCCTGCCTATGGCACCAGCAAAAAAAAGAGGACAACCAACCACCCACCCACCCACCCACCCACCCACTCACCCACCCACCCACCCACTCACCCAGCCACTCACCCAGCCACTCACCTAGCCAACCAACCAACCAACCAACCAACCAACCAACCAACCAACCCAACCAACCAACAACCAACAACCAACCAACCAACCAACCAACCAACCAACCAACCAACCAACCAACCACCAACCAACCAACCAACAACCAACCAACCAACCAACCAACCAACCAACCAACCAACCAACCAACCAACCAACCAACCAACCAACCAACCAACCACCAACATTCCAACAAGAAATGGATGCCTCCCCCCCCAGTTGTTCCCGCCGAGGCGCGCCAGGCGCACAAAGCGCAGCGGCGCAGGCCCCAGGGCCTCTTCGTCCAGCAGCTGCCGCACCCAGCGGTCCACGCCCGAGCCCTCGCTGTCCCCCATGGTGAGGTCCACCTGAGCCGCGCGCCACGGAGTTTTGCTGGGACCCAAGTGGAAGAAGGAAGCGGCTGAGCTGGGCTTCCAAAATGTGAAGGTGCAGGACGGGGTGTCCATGTTTTGGGGACGGAAGCGCAAAAGAAGGAAACTGCTGATCGGGGCTTCTTCCGAACATGAGTTCTCTCTGAAAATATGGGTGTTGTGGGCTTTGCCTGAAAATGCGGGTGGCGTCCGATATTTTTGGGGGGTGTCCCCAACAATATGCCTCTCAATCGCCAACCCCCAACGAGGTGTTTTTTTGCCCGGAAGAGAAAACAAAACACAACAAACAAACGTCTAGGTGCTGATGGATCGGATGTCGAACGCCAAGTTTCGTGCAGCTTTCGCTAAGTGGGGGGGTCCGCGTCATAATTTCCAAGCGAAGCGTCGTGACTCCGGTCCCCCACTTCATTGTTCTGTCAAGTTGGTAAATTGTTGGTAACTAATTCACAACGCACTGAAAAGTCCCCCAAGTGACTTGACCTTGTTTTATGGGCGTTCTACTTTCAAGTGGCTTACCACTTAATGTTGACCCATTATTAACAAACCCGTCCCATTATTAGGGGGTATTCCCTCCGAAAGTGGTCTGAATCCAACCACTAAAAGGAATTGGACACCCATCAAAATCCACCAGGGGCTTACTCCGGGGTTCACCTTCCCAACTTCGCCGACTTCGCCGACTTCGCCGACGCGCGAAAAAAAAACCTTCGCGCCTCCAGGCGCGCGTCGAAGTGGAGCCGCAGCACCGGCAGCCGCGCCGCGATGGTCTTCAGCACCCGGAACCGGCGCCCGGGCACCGCCGCCACGGCCCTGAGGTAGCGCAGCTGCCTGCGAGAAGTCCGCGGAAAAAAAAGCCGCGGGGACCGCTGAAGCTCGAAAAGTGGGCATGGGTTTTGAATGGAAACCACTCATCGGGAAAGGCTGTCCAAGTGAGAATGTCGTGGGAGTCAACCACAGGGGTAAGAAACCTGACGGGTTCCTCAAAATTCCCGGTCTATATGGATATATGTTGGCCATTTCGGAGGGCGTAGGAGCCGACATGTGCGGCAAGCAAGACATCCTCGAAATGTCCCATGCCGGCTTCCCCATCCCGGGCTTCTTTTAGTTGCGGATTCCCCAGAAGGCCCTTCAAGAAAACAAACCTTGGGCCCCTTCTTGAAGAATGGCGCGAGTGCACGGGCCTGTCATTGTTTTCCTAAGGGACCACCAAAACAGCGGCTCGCAAAAAGACAGACCCACGTTTTTGGGAGTTGGTGATGTTGTTTTTTCGAGACTTTTGGGCATTGACTTTAGACACGCGAGTCTGAAAAAGCGACCAACATCCACGACAAAAGCCGGGGAGTGGATATCTTTTTAGCTCTCTTTGATCCCATCCTCAAAGCAACACACCAACACGCACCTGTTGGCAACAGCTGTCAGCACCAGCCTCTCTTGCCCGTGCACTTCAAACTGCTGGAAGCTCATGCGGACGTCTAAGTCCGAGCTCATGAGCGCCGTTTTCTGACGCCTGAAATGGCACGGCAGCGTGGATTTTTAGTGAGTCCTCTACGTCTCTCCCAAACATGACCAAGCATGACCATAGACTGGGCATTTCGACCGAACCTCGCATGCTCTGGGCTGACAGGACCTTTGTATTTCAAAATACAAATGATTAAATATGTACATACCTGGACTCGCAAACCACCCTTCAAATCGGAGACATCACCCCATCATTTGGGGGCATGTTCGTTTCTCTTGTTCAAGGGTAGTTTGAGGGTCCAGGGGCATAGATTCACATCTTCATACACTTCTATCAGACACGTTCCTCCATTTGCATAAACTCCCCTGCAAAAGAAAGATAGCGATAGACTCCCTTTTAAAATCAACTGGTCAAATATATATATATGTATATATATATATATAAATAATAGTAATAATAATAATATTAATAACAGTACGAAACAAATATTAATAATAATAATAATGACAATCATACTAATAATAACAATAATGATAATATAACAATAATACTAATGACAATCATACTCATACTAATAATAATAATGATAATATAACAATAATAATAACAACTTAAGCAAATGGAACATGTTTGATGATCTCAATGGGAATTCCCCCGCACACGTTGAACAAATTGTTCCACGTGCCGAGTCACGTGGAGCCGAAGGCCTCCAGCTGAACATCAGGCGTCCAGTCGAAGGGGGCGACCTCCGAAGGTTCCCAGATGCTGAAAACCACGAGGGGCATATGGCTGTGGTTGTCAAAAGCCATTTTGGGGGTGGGTGAATTCAGCACCCATTTTAGAACCTATTTTAGTGGTTGGATTGGGATGTTCACTGGAGGTACGATTTGGATTTTGACCCATGGCCATATGGTGCTCAGAAGTGTTGAGAAGGGTTCCTCAAAAGTGTCGATCAGAAGTGTCGATCAGAAGTGTTGCTCAGAAGGGGAAGCCTGTTCAAAGGTGCAATGATGTCACACTTGCAAGTGAACTTGAATTCGCTCAGACAACCAAACGAACTGGATTGTGTAACAAAGGCCACGGGCAATCCAACTGTTTTCGCTTCTCAAAACAACGGTTGCCCAAAACAACAAATGCGTGGGTCCAAATTCGGTAGATGGAAACAAGCACTTAAATTCCTGCGCGGTCTACAGTACATGGCCATGGGTCATAAGCCAAGTCGTAGCAGTGAATATCCCAATCCAACCACTTAAATAGGTTCTAAAATGGGTGGTGAATTCACCTACCCCAAAAATGGTATCCCATTGGTTCTGACCCACAGCCATATGACTCGTGTCCATTAACATGGAACCTGCCTGAGTGCTGGAAGTCAATACTCCTTTTCAATGGTCCCTGGTTGCATGCCAGCGGACAGGAGGGCAATGATTCACTGCGCTGCTTGGCTGGGAGCCACCAAGAACAATGACTTTTATTTTTAACCCCATGAGTTTTAATGGGGTGGTTTGACTCGGCTTCAAACACTCAGCTCCATTCGTTCAACCTCCTCTTTCCTTTTTTCCCAGACACCATGCCTCTCCCCCAGTTTTCCTTTCAGCTGTTCGGTTCAGAAGCCGATCGACCCCGGCTAGACGCTTCAGACAAGGTTGAACCCCCCCCCCATTTTATCCTCAGTTGCCCAAAAGCCCCAGACATTTTTTAGGTTCACCTTTTAGGGCCTTTACTAACAATGGAAACCAAAAGAAAAAAACAACAAAAAACATTAAAAGGTTGGGTTTGGACAACCGAGTATCAGATAGAATCGGGTTAGTCCATCCGACCACGCCGCGCGGTTTCGCGGCGGTTCGTGGCTGAGTCGACGCCTTGAACTCCTCGGCGGACAGAGCCGAAGAGCAAATGGTTTGCAGCTCGCTGAGGCACTCCGTGCAGGTGTCTTCGAAGTCTTTGGACGCCACCTGCCAGAAAAACATATCCTATGGTTGTCAGCCCCCCAAAGACCCCTAACAATGCTCCCCCCCCCCAAAAAAAAGAAGCCCCTAATAGGCCACATTATGGGGAACAAAAAGCCCCAAAGAGGAATCGGACCCCCTAAAAATGGAGTCCTCACAAAACGCTATAAAACACTGGAAAAAACAGGCCCTGCCGGGCGTCCTGGTCTAAACATGGTCCCCAAAGGAACGCGAGAAAGGTCCTAATATGCCACATGAATCGCAAAAAGCCCCTATTGGGATTGGGGGGGCTCCTGCTGGGGACTCTTGACAACCAAAAGAAATAAGGAGAGGGAGCGATAACACATATCAGTAGCCGAATAGCCATTTGGGGGGGGGGGGTTCAGGAGATGAAGGATGAATGGGAATGAATTTCTGGATATCTTTTCATATCTCTTTCCTAAACTTGGATCCGGAATCATCTTTTGAAGAATGCCTTAGGATCCAGAATGAAAGAGATATAGAAAGAGAATGGGAAAGGAAAGGAAAGATATTCTATTTTTTTCTTTCATATGCTCTAGAACCTTGGAAATGCAAATTCTCTTTTACAATGGGCTCCACACATTTTTCAGCGGATGTGTTTGTTGTTTTCCGGAGAGGCCGCACAATTTCTGGGGCCCTGGTCTCCTTTCAAGGGAAGGTTGGGAGACCTGGATTCAGCACCCCTAGTTGATTGGCAACTGCGGGGTGTCCCAGTGAAGAGCGAATCCGGATCACTCTTGGGGGCCTTTATCTCTCCACCCGGCCCTGCTGAAATCATGGTTTAAACCAAACACTAGTTGCTTCAACAACCTCCTTTCAGGTTACCTAAAAAGATCACGGTCTGCAACCCTGGCGTTGGACAAGAGAGTAACATCCACCAAAGGCATGGTGGTGCACTACTGTGGATGGACGAAGTCCGTTCGCGCCACCAAAGACACCCCTGAAATGATGATTCCCCTGCAAACAACAGGTTTCTTCCTATGGTTTCTGAACACTGGTGCTTGGTGCTCAAACAGATTCCGTCCATCCAGGGTCTGTGGCAAGACTTGCGCAAGTCTTGCCGGGCAATGGGCACAGCTCTCTTTTTCTTTTTTTTCCCACCGCGGAATGGACCGAGGCGCGTTGGCCTCGCTTTGACCTAGCCACTGCCTGTGGCAGCTTAACCTCGCTTGGTTGAAATTGGAAGGGGAGCAAAAATTCTCAAATGTTAGCCGCCAAGTGGTTGGATTTCAACCACTAAACCACAACAAGCAAAAATGGTCAAAATGTTTCCCAACAACAACCAGGCTCGTCTCTGGGATTTCTGCCGTGGCGCCTCACATCAGCAGTGGCTGTGGCTCGCACCAGCTCCATGTGCCGCGTAAGATGGCGGCGGCCTCGTCTGCACCGCCTGCCAGAGGGTGCATCCCGAAGCAACCCCCCAGCCACCCCCACCCTACAACTCCAACCAGCCTGGCTCCATAAGCGTAACCGCGGTGCACCAGCAACAGGCAGGCGCGCACAAATGGCCCAACCCCAACCCAAAACGGGCGCCGACCATGCTTTCTTTGGCTGTATTCAAACCCCGAATCTCCGACACCTGGTTTCCTCCAAATTGGAGCAAGGCCTCTTTAAATTTAAGCCAACCTCAAAAAAGGATGCACAAGGTGAAAGTAGATGGCGAACAACACTCCGTTTCGGGTTTAGTCCTGCCCTTTACCTACATAAAGAGAAGCGTGGCATCTACTTTCGAAGCAACCTCAAACACCTCATCCATCACGGGGCATCCTCGAAAATACCCTACAAATGGTGGGTTAAAGCGAACCACGGTTTTTCCCCAACAGTAGTTCTGAGGATCTGTAATGTTCCCCCAAAATCAAGAGACACCCTCAAAATGAAATCACTTACCTGGAATCACACAAAACAACATACGACATCATCAACGTGGGTGCGTCTGTTTCTCTCTCTCTCTCCCTTCTTGTTTGGGGTGGGGGAGGCCAGATTCAGGGTTTCCTTTTGTTTCTTGCTTGAACACCTCCAACAACGGGCTATGAACGGTAACTCCAAAAACCGGCGAGCCGCCCGAAACCTCCACCCCAAACCCTCCACCCCAACCCCCCGACCTGCCGAGACCTTCCCCGCGTGGGCGGAGGCGATTTTGAGCGGATGCCAGGCCAAAAGAGTCCGCAGGCTGCGGGAGATGTTGGTCTTGTCGGCCTCGCGATGCCGGATTCATCTGGGTGAGTTTTTTGTTTTTTCCAGCCTGGTTCTTGTTTTTGGGTGGTTAGAGCGCGATTGCCCACAGAAACCACCATTTGGGGTGATTCGGTCGCGTGAGGTCATTACAATCACCCAGATTCATGGCCCAGTAAATCCCAGGCAATGCCGCCTTATTGGTAGGAAACCCTTTGCTCTTCGTCTTTCTTTGAAAAGTGGTGGCAAGCGATCCACTGGGTGGGCGTGTCGGCCTAATTGGGAAACCACCATTTGAAGGGCCCAGGAAAAATTGGGGGAGGGGGCGGGGAGCGATACTACAAGATGGCCGGTGAATCCGGCCTCACAAAGGACTCCGCTTGATCTGCTGATCAACTAACTTCTCAAAGTAGCCATGGACCCAAAAGCCGAGCATAAACAAATGCTTTTGGGGAGATTAGGGATTCCTGTTCTAGGGTCCTCCAGATTTGAGAGGATAGAACCAGGGTCTGGGGAACCAAAAGCCTCCAACTTTTCCGCACACAACTTCTCAGCCGAGGGATTCCATGCACTTCTGTTTTACAACTTCATCATGTGTTTTTTTTTTTTTATGTTTAAACAAGAACTGGGGCACAAAAATCTGCACCTTCCTGTTGGCTCCCGCTTGGTTTCCATCCAACAGCTCTACCCTCTTCCCAGCTCCAGCTTCCGCTTATCCGCCTCCTGCAGGTGCAGGCGGTAGGTGGGCAGCAGGACCTCCTTCGGCCCCGGCGCCACGAAGGCCGTGGCGTAGAGCTCCGTGCACGCGCCCACCTGCGATCCGCGCGGCGCGAGGCGCGCGCAGCGCTGCGCGCGCGAGGCGCGGTTTTTGTTTCTCCCCATGTCTCGATCCAGAGAATCCGGAGGGGAAACGGGGAAAAACAAGAAAAAACGGCCACATGCCGGGGGGGGGGGGGAATGTTAATGGATTTTTCGAAATGGATGATATGGCTTTATAGACATAATGCGTGGTAGTTCATGTATATGCGTATATAACTATGGTTATATCGCTGCATATGGAAGAAATGGCTTCCCTTCAAGCCAACCCAAGGGTGAACATGGTGAACATACATTTCGGCCTCCCCACCTGCGGCCGCCCGGTGAGGTCCTCCTTATCCGTAGAGCCGAAATAGACAAAGTCGCAGGTCAGCAGAGTCCTTGAGCTGTGCTGCAAGACGATCTCAGGGAAGCCCGTTTGGCCGATCACTTCGATGCGGAAATCCTTCAAGATCTCCTTCACCGGCTCCGGAGCCTCTCCTGGCATGGGACGTAGCTTTATTTTGCCCCGCTGAACCGTGGCCTGAAAAGGGAAAAGTCACTTCCTGTGAGTTGGGTAACAACCCCCAGGTTTCAACACTGGTTGTTGCAAAAAAAGAAGATGGGGGAAAAAAAAAACTTCTTCCGTGTATCCCGTGGTCTCCTGGACTGACGATCAAAGGATTGGCCCAACTGGGAATCTGGATGCCAGGGGGGAGGATCACGTGAGCCTCCGGCCAGGCGTGTTTCCAGGCCTCCCAGTGTACGGCGTGCTGGCTGTTCGGCAGCACAATGACCCTGCCGGGGTTGGTCGTAGCTGTTTTTGTGCAAGCAACCAGCCTCTGGTCTTCTCACTGCCCCAGTGGTCGGTTCAAAAAAGTCCCGGAACTTGTTGCTTGGCCAAATTGCGTCTTCCCGAGTGGATGGTCCGAAAAAAAGTCCTGGAACTTTTGGTTGGCCACTACAATGGTCCAAACCCACAAAGTATAAAGTCCAGGAACTGGGGAAGTGAGTCTTCGAGGGGGAATTACATGAAGACTGTAGTGGTGATGCCAAAACTGAATAGGCGGGCACAACCCTGGCACCGAACCCTCCCGAACCCAAAAATGCACCCAACTCTGCCTAAACTTCCGCCCCTGCCTGACACCCCCAAGCCTGCGCAGCGCCAGCTCCACATCAGGCAACAGCTCCACAGGAGAGTACACCAAAACTCCTCCATCCGACAGCTTCACCAGTACCATGCGCCGAGACCACACACAGGGCACAAACAGCTGGCCCGCCTGCCACTGCGCATCGATGTCTCGGTACTTCGACTTGGCCTTTTCGTCTACGGCTGAGAGCAGCCAAGCGAAGGTGCTGTTGTGCTCTTCCGCTGATTGCAAGGCCACGTATTCAAAGACCGAGCCATCCGGGTCCAGCTGCTTGAAGTTGGGCCAGGGCGTCGAGGAAGCCGAAGCCAAAGCCGATATCGAGAGAGCGAAGAGAACGGCCAGTGGCGCCATGGGTTTTATGACTTGGTGATCAGAACTCGGGCGCAAGCCGGAGCTTGAGCCTGTCAAACCTTTGAACCGTTGGCGCATCAACGCGGGCCGGATGTTTCCTCTTTTTCACACCAAGGGGGAGGACAGGCCATGTTCAACCGTACACCCTCTTTAAGGTTGCTTCCTGCCAGTCCTGGCGGCGCCTGCGCGTCGTGCACATCCTCCAGGATTTTCTTCAGCTCGAAGGAGTCTCCAGAACTCCACCAATCCATCGGAAGTGACACAGAAACGCTTCCAGCTCTATGTCATGTATTGACATCTGTCGTCACCTCAGGCAGAAGTGGTAAAACAAACGAATGTAGTTAGACGTAATACGTGTATGTAGTAAACAAAAACAGCTTGCTTTTGACATTCTTAAACATGTGTGCAGGCTCATTTCTATGATGCAGGCTTTAATATGTTGTTCATACATGGCTCTTTTGTAGTACATGTTGGATCTTCCTTTGTTTTATCACATTTGCCTGCTTATGTTGGTCACTGGCTGGATCCCGTCTTTTTCTTCGTCCATATTCATAAAGCATGTGCTAATCATCTGATATCGTTATTGTTGATGTTTGGCGCTTGTGGAGTTTCTTGCTGCCTTTCCGGTGCTTTCTCACTTTGGGCACACTGACGGAGGCCTCGGCTTTCAGCTCAGGGGGGTTGAGGTACAAGCCAGAACCCTGGGAAAAAGATGGTCGTGGCGATCCTTCAGCTTGTATTAGTTGGAAGTCCCTGTTGAACACTCGGTCAGCCAGACTGATCAAGGCGATCAAGGTAGCAAAGACATGGCGTGCCAAACATGTTGTGGCACGTCCGCCCTTCGAGCGGTGCCATGATCGTGTCTGCCTATATGAATGTGCAATGCTCAACCGCGAGACATGGCTAGTCTCTGCTTTTGTGGAAATGGCAATCTACGTTTCTGATAGCTCACCTCACAAGGCTGGTCTGCATCCTCTCCCCCCAAAGATGGCCTGGAGCCAGAGCGACGCAAAAATCGCACGCGACCCCGCACTTTGCTTCGCTGAGGAACTGGCTCCACAAGGGCAGGGATCAGTGAAAGGTACCTCAAGTTCGAAGTAAACCCCGGTATTCGCTGGGTATTTGGCCGACTTAAATTTCCCCCGTCCGTGAGGTCTGCGTGAAAATCCTGAACCGCGCCGATTTCCGATTTATAGCTTCTTGAAACTGCAAAAGAATCTAAAGAGCGGCACGCCCCTGGCTCTAAGGTTCTTCAGGCTGCAAGCAGAGAAACAGCGAGAAAAACGCCGTGGTTTCCCTGAGTGGCTCAAATGACGCAAGTCTTCGTGTGAGCCAGGGGACTCCGAATCTGGATTTCTGTGGCGGGGCCAACACCCACGTCTCAGAGAGGAGTGCGCTTTGGTCACCCAAGTCCCAAACTTGCGGCTCGCGCGGAACTGACCTGGCGCCTTTTAAAGGTGCCGGGCGCCCAAGTAAGCGCGTTCAAAAGGGCCAAATGCCCGGCTCGGCATTTAACACACTGTGCTTCTCAAAATTGGAGGCCGCGATTCCTCCAAGTTTTGAGTTATTGATTGGTTTCCCTTTTAAGCCCATCCAAAACGGGGTTTCCTAGTTTGAATCAGACCCACTATTGATTGCAACTGGCTGGCTGAAGTCTGAAGGCTCCCTTGGGCAACTTCGGCCCGGCTTACTGTGCCCCGACACCTGCTGTACTCAGCTTCTCAATGTGCTTCTCATCCCGCCACGCTGAGGTCACAGTCTTCAGCTGGGTAAAGAAACTGACTCCAGCCTGGCAAAGTCGATATGGCAACGAGCCCAAAAGCGCTACTTCCACTTGGGCCCCACTTGGTACAGTTTCCTTTTCTCTTTGTTTCTCCTTATCTTTCTCATTCTATTGTCTTTCTTGTTCTCTTCTAGCTTCATTTTCTCCTTTCGTTCTTTCCTGAATGCCTGTCTGTTGGGAAATTCATTCGCATAGATAATATATGTATCCTTCTCTTTCTCTTTATCTTTGTCTTTCTCTTGTTCCATCTAGCTAGCTAGTATCCATCTATCCGTCTATCCATCCAGCATTATTCAATCTGTCTATCGATCAATCAATCTATCTAACAAATCGTTGTTCTTTCTATCGGATCTGTCCGCATCCAAGCCGTCTGCCGGCTTCAAACAAAGACAACATCGTCGCAGGAGGAAAAAACAAGAAAGAAAGAAAACAAAATAAAAACGAAGAAACAACCAAAAAAAGAAGAAAAACAAACAGATCAGGATCCGCGCCTTGCCATAGAAGTTCAGGTCCCCCAAAATGGACTTCTTGTTGCCTGTGAAGGAGAACATGGGCAAAGGCACCTGAGACGTCGGGAGGAAAGGAAGACCAAGACCTGTGTAACTCTAGCTCTTGAGAAAATTCAGCCACACCCAGTTGTCTTGTGCTCCTGGTTTGTCTGGAAATTGATGGGTTGGCCAAACCAAACCAACAGGCTACAAGTGGGTCTGTCCTTGTTAGGGGAACCCCCTTTTTGGTTGGTGCATAAAGGAATACCACGCAAAAACACCATTTCAGGGGTCACCTAAAAAAGACCAGACCCAAAGATCGTTGGAGAAAGCCCGCAGCACATAGCTTCAGCATGAGAAGCATCCCCCAACAAGTGGGATGGCCCTGGTAAATGGAATAGAGCCAATCTAAACCAGTGGAACCCATCGATTTCTCACCAGACTAACCTGAAAAGGACACCTATGCCCCCAACATTCCCCAAGTGACCGCCTTTCTGAGGGCGCCCCTTTTTTGCGTTTTGTTTTTAGAAACTCAAATCACACCGCCCAACTGGTGCATAAGACAAACCCAGTGTGAATCAAATATGGGTATGTGCCAAAATAGGAACCTCCAACTTGCCAACCCCAAACTCAATTAAAAAAAGACACACCCATATTTGTGGTTCAAGGCGCAGGGATGGGCACGTTCACGCCCACCTGGCAAGGATTTTGTAACCTAACAAGCCGGTGGAACCGATGGCGATTCAACGTCGTGGAGAAAAAATCAGAAACAAAAGGTTCAGCAGCTATCGCAAAATCAAATAGTGAACTCCTTTGGTCCATAGAGAACAAGCAACCCACGTGGCAACTATGATTTTAGTTCTGGGAGAGTCAAAACAAGCTCCTGGTTGGTGGCATCACAGTGACACGGCCGTCGGGGCTTGCCAAATGGTAAACAAGCGGCAGCAGCATTCCTTGTGCCACTTCTCTTCATCTTCGAATTTCCGCTGCAGGGTCCAAAAATGTTTAGCCACCCATTGCAAGAACATCCGTTCGGTTTCCGTAAGGGGTTGGCTTCAAACAAGTAGGTCGTCTTGAAAAAGTTCCCCTTGGAGCCAACGGATGGTCCGTCGTTTTCTCTTTCAAGGGCTGGCTGACACACCGAAACCTCGGCTCAGCCTGCCCGGCTTCGATCTCGTCGGTAAACTTCCTCGCAGCAGCGCCGCTGCGAGTGAAGACTGCCGTGCCATTGCCGTATGGATTCCTTAGGAAGGCAGGCCCCACCCCAAAAGTCACATTCCTCCAGCATGGTCATGTAGGTTTATGTTGTCCTGTCTACATGTCTCTCAACAGGAATGTGGGAGCTAATTATCCACCAACCATGTCCTGGAAAAGGACTGATTCATGGTTGGGAGGGGGGTCATTCCCGTATTCCTTGAAAACAAGCAAGGCAACTTTAGTCTAAGTGGTTTTGTTCGCCCTTCTGACACCCGAAAACATGGGTCTGGTCAGAATTGGGTGCCTTCAAGGTTCGCGCTAGGGACCGAGCTTCTAGACATCACCTAAGCGACTGGAAAAGATCTCCAATAATGGCTTTTATGTGCATGTTGCGTGTGCCATGGTTCTGCTTATTTGGTTTTTGCCGAAAAAACAAAACCTGGGCGAGCTGCTCGTTGACGAACTTGATGGCCTCATCAAAGGAGTCCACCTCTACACAGCACAGGACGGGCCCGAAGATCTCGTTGTCGTAGATCCTTGGGACCCCCTTCAAACATAGGTGTCCTTTTAAGGGGAAATAGATGGCCCTGGTAGATTATTAAACCACCAGCCAAACCAGGGCCATCGATTTTTCTGACAAAACAACCAAAAAGGACACCTATGCCTTCAAACATGTCCGCTTGCTGTTGTTGCCCTTCAAACATGTCCACTTCCTGTTGGTGCAGAAATCCTCGTTTTCCCAAAGGTCACAAGGTTGAACCAAGTCACGTTGGTGCTGCGAAGAGGAAAATCGTCTCTTCTCCGGAAAAGTTGGACATGTGTTTCGACCAAAGAGCCGGCCATTTTGCTTAGTGGATGCTCCAAAGGGTCAAAAGGCTCTTCAGGTCCCCCTTCAAGAAGTCAAATTTTAAGTCTGCTGTTCCTTAGGGAAATCGACCTCTTGTCAAAAGGTGAACAAATGGAACCACCATTGCGAACATGTTGTCCAAAAAAACTCTTCCAAAAACGAACCAGGAAGATCCCCCCACGTCCAAAAACCCGTGGTGGTTGCGATCGCTTCGAAACGATCTCGAAACCAAGAAGCTGCATACCTCGCTTCACCTCCGCAAAGACCGAGGGCCCGACCTAACTTGCAGAGTGACCTGGACATAAAATTGGCGATCGACGCTTTGCATAATAATATTATTGTTGCAAAAAAAAAACAAGTCAAAAGGGTGTGGCTCAAATTTGGGGGTCCAAACAGAAGCCTGGTAACTGGAAAAGCAGGCTAACACCTGCGTAACCCCATGCCCTGTGGATCCCAGGCAAGCCCTTTTTTGGTTTGCTAGGTAAATGGATCCGCTGGGTTGACTATGGACCATAGGAAAACCTTATGGCTTCAACCATGGCTACAAAGTGGTGATACATATTTCGTACATCCACGGCATGGACCAAAATAGGAAAACTGAAAGGTGAAAAGGTCGGCTTTGAAGAACTGAGCTACAAAGTAGCCCTCCTTGTTGGCTGATGGCAGCGATGGGCTGCGCCCGTCCAACAGCAGCCGCGCGCCCTCGTCCATGCCCGACTGTATGAGGGACTCAACCTCAGCAAACAGAAGAAACGAGGGTTTGCACCCAAAAGCTGGACAGAACCAAAAAACCGAGGGAGGAAAGCTGGGAATTGCCAATTAGTCGAGCCCAGCCAAGCTAAACCTTGTGCTAGTGGCCCATAAAGCTAAAAAAGATAAATGTCACACCCAGGGAGTCACGAGCAAAACTTGGTACTAAATGGTCCACCCACAATGTAAAGAAATCCGTGGGTGGATAGCTGCACCGATTTCTGCCGAGCGTCCCCTACCCCTCAAGTGTTTCCCCCCGGGTTTGAGTGTGGCTCGAAGGGGAACCAGGGTTCCATGCTCCACCAAAGGGAATAAAAGCCGGAAACTTCACAGACCAACTCCAGTCCTCGGCTGAATTCTATTTGAGTCTGTCTGAAGGGAAACCAAAAGGACACCTATTTTGACACGTGGGTCAGGGGCTAGGCTCAAAAAACGACACACCGATCCTTCTCTGAGGTACCCGCTCTTTTTGGAACACCAATCATACCAGTAGAGCCGGCGAAGCCGGTGGGCGGAAGTGTAAAAAATATAAAAACTATAGTTCTCTTTCTCTTTCTTTTCTTGACTCTTCTCTCTTCTTCTGCCTGTCCATTGTTTCTTTTTTCTCCGTCATTCTTCCTTTCTTCCTTTCTTTCCTTCCTTCCTCCCTTCTTTCCTTCTTTCTATCTGTCTTTTCTTTCTTTCTTTCGTTTGCTTGCTTTTGTGCTGTTCTTTCTTTTGTCTCTTCTCTGTCTATGTATCTATTTATCTATCTATCTACCTATCTATCTTTCTATCTTTCTATCTTGCTATCTATCTATCTCTTGCTTAATCTATCTATCTATCTACCTATCTCTCTCTCTCTCTCTATCTGTCTATCTTTTTATCTCTATCTATCTATCTATCTATCTCTCTATCTATTTATGTATCTATCTATCTATCTATCTAACTAATTTATTTTTCTATCCAGCTACCTATCTATCTATCTATATCTCTATCTCTCTTTCTATTTATTTATCTATGTATCTCTCTATCTATCTATCTATCTAGCTGTCTATCTATCTTCTGTTGGTTTATCTATCTAACTATTTATCTCTCCATCTATCTCTCTATCTCTCTTTCTATTTATCTTTCTATCTCTCTATCTCTTTCTTTCTATTCTCTTTCTATCTATCTATCTATCTATCCATCTATCTCTCCATCTATCTCCCGCGTGTCTATCTATCTATCTATCTGTCTATCTCTCTATCTATCTATCTCTATCTATGTACCTCTATATCTCTCTATGTATCCCTCTGTCTACCTATCTATCTATCTCTCTCTCTCTCTGTCTATCTATCTGTCTATCTATCTCTCCATCTATCTCCCGCGTGTCTATCTATCTATCTATCTATCTGTCTATCTCTCTATCTATCTATCTCTATCCATTTGTGTATCTATCTATCTATCTCCCTATCTCATTAACTCACGTGTGTTTATCCATCTCTCCATCTCTCTATCTATCTTTTTTTCTATTTCTAATTATCTATTGATCTACCTATCCATCCATCTCTCTATCTACCTCTCTATCTCATTCTCTCTACCTATCTATCTATCTACCTCTCTATCTACTCATCTATTTATCTATCTAGCTATCTATCTATCTATCTGTTGATTTCTCTATCTATCTACTTACCTATCTATCTCTCTCTCTCGATCTCTCTTTCTATCTATTTACCTATGTATCTCTCTATCTATCTATCTATCTAGCTGTCTATCTATCTTGGGTTGGTTTATCTATCTAACTATTTATATCTCCATCTTCTCTCTATCTCTCTTTCTTTCTATCTTTCTATCTCTCTATCTCTTTCTTTCTATCTGTTTATCTCTCTATATCTTTCTCTATCTCTTTCTATATATCTATCTATCTATCTATCTATCCATCTATCTCTCCATCTATCTCCCGCGTGTCTATCTATCTATGTATCTATCTCTCCATCTATCTCCCGCGTGTCTATGTATCTATCTATCTGTCTCTCTATCTCTCTGTCTATCTATCTATCTCTATCTATCTGTCTATCTATCTATCTCTCTATCTCATTATCTCACGTGTGTTTACCCATCTCTCCATCTCTCTATCTATCTTTTTTCTATTTCTAACTATCTATAGATCTACCTATCTATCCATCTCTCTATCTACCTCTCTATCTCATTCTCTCTACCTATCTATCTATCTACCTCTCTATCTACTCATTTATTTATCTATCTATCTATCTATCGATTTATTTCTCTATCTATCTACCTGCCTATCTACCTCTCTCTCTATCTCTGTTTTTATCTATATATCTATCTCTCCATCTATCTATCTATCTATCTGTCTGTCTATCTACCTATCTGTCTGTTTATCGTTTATCTATCTCTTTTTCTATCTATCTATTTATCTATCTCTTTTTCTTTCTATTTATCTATCTCTCTATCCTCTCTCTCTCTATCTCTCTATCTTCTGGCCCTCTCTCTATCTATCTATCTATCTCTCTATCTCTGTATCTCTCTCTCTCTCTGTCTATTTATCTATCTATCTTGCTCTCTGTCTCTCTCTCTTTATCTATCTATGTATCTATCTCTCTCTCTCTCTCTATCCATCTATCTTTCTATCTCTTTCTCTATCTCTTTCTATCTATCTGCGAAAGTGGACTTCGCGTACTACTTTCGTACTTAAAAGTTGCGATTTTCGAGCCCCGGCTGCGAAAGTTAAAAGTTGCGATTTTCAAGCCCCAGCTGCGAAAGTTGACTTCGCGTACTACTTTCGTACTTAAAAGTTGCGATGTTCGAGCCCCGGCTGCGAAAGTTGACCTTGCAAAAGTGCTGCGCCTGCCACGAAATCTGTACTTGACCTTGCGAAAGTGCTGCACCTGCCACGAATTCTGCACTTGACCTTGCGAAAGTGATGCGCGTGCCACGAATTTTGCACTTGACCTTGCGAAAGTGCACCTGCCACGAAATCTGTACATGACCTTGTGAAAGTGCTGCGCCTGCCACAAAATCTGTGCTTGACCTTGCGAAAGTGCTGCGCCTGCCATGAAATCTTTACTTGAGCTTGCGAAAGTTCTGCGCCTGCCACGCAATTCCAACCTTGGGAAAACTTGACCTTGCGAAAGTGCCACGCCTGCCACGAAATCTGCACCTCACCTTGCGAAAGTGCTGCGCCTGCCATGCAATTCAAGCCTTGCGAAACCTCCGCGTTGCCGTGCCAATGGGCGCGCGCTCCGAGCCCGCTCCGAGCCCGCTCCGAGCCCTCTCCGAGCCCGCTCCGAATCCACTCCGAACCCGCTCCGAACGCGCTTCGACCAGGCGCCGCGAACAGGCTAGCTTCCCGCTCTCCGGTGACACCAATTCACGCACGGGGCCACGCTTTTTGCAGATTCCTTACTCCCGCCACACGCGCGCACATATTTTCTCGCGTGCTTGTTCCTTTTCTTTATCTGTCTCAGAGAGAGCTAGCTTTCAATTAGTTGCCGTAACACGGAAGTTCCTTCTAAACTTCCTTTGACAAACCGAAGCCCATGTTGGAGGGTCCAACCTATTGAAAAGAACAACACACATCCTTTCGACTGCCACTTTGGAGGGTCCAACCTCGCACTACTTGTTGAAAAAACAAAAGCAAAAACAAAACAAAAGCGCCATTTGTAGGAAAAAAACAAACAAAACAAAGAAAAAAGACAAACGCATCTCTTGGAACAAACTCATCCTCTTCGCTGAGGTACCCTCTGCTTGGCTTGGGCGGAGATCAGTGGCCCCACGTCGGTGGACTCCTCCTTGCCTGGGCCCACCTTCAGCTTTGAGGCCTTCTCCGCAATCTTCGGGATCCACTCCTCACCGGAGCGGACCGGGGAACAAAAATGTGTATCTATATAGATATGTTTATATATATATATGGTAAAAAGGTCCTGTGTTTTCTGGAAAATGTTGGTGTATTTTACGTGTTTATTATTATAACTATTATTATGTGTGTTATTATTACTATTGCTATTATTATTGGTATTCGTATTATTATTATTATTATTATTATTATTATTATTATTATTATTATGATTATTATTATTATTATTATTATTATTATTATTATTATTATTATTATTATTATTATTATTATTATTATTATGATTATTATTATTATTATTATTATTATTATTATTTATTGTTTATTATTTATTATGCAGTATCATTATTGTTATTATTTATTATGATTATTATTATTATTATTATTAGTATTATTATTATGTTTATTATTATTATTAGTAGTAGTAGTATTATCATTAGTATCATTATGTGTTATATATATATGTATAAATGTGTATCTTATTTCTTATTATCCGTTTTTATGTTGTTGTTGTTTGTTTGATTGTTTGTTTTTTTTTTTTTGGGGGGGGGGACCATATGTATATCATGAAGAATATATATATATATATTAGATATATATATATATATATGTATATATGCACCTATCTATATACATATACATATGTGGTACGCCCCTCACAAAAAAACTACGGTTTCCAGAAAACACTGGACATTTACAGGTTGTTCCACTATAATAGGTTGGGCTTGTATGAAAATAGGGGACCCCCAAAATGGGCGGTGTCCTTTCCAAACCCATCCAGGGTTCCCTCAAAACACAACCATACTTTTGCACCCCCAAATGGGCGGGAGGGAGGCGGGGGTTCTGTTGGGCGGAAGGGCTGATTCAGGGTTTGTTTAGCGTTGGTTTTGGGTGGATTCGGGATCCTTTTCAGTGCTGGTTTGCGGTGTGTCTAGGGTTTTTAGGGCTGGTTTGGGGTTGGTTTTCGGTTGGTTTAAGGCTGGTTTAGGGCTGGTTTAGGGTGGGTTTGAGGTTTCTGTCGGGTCTTCTTAGTGCGGGGTTAGTGTGGATTTAGGGTGGGCTAAGTTGTGGCTTAAGCAGGGTTTGGGATTTAGGCTGGTTTAGGGCAGGTTGCAAACTATAGCTACAAAACACGCAAACAGCAGACGACCGGGGACCCTGCCACAACAAGGGGGGGGGCGGGGGAAAAGACTTGGGGCCCGCTTTGTTGGTTTGCCAATAGGCCGTTTTTGAGGCTCACCCTCCTTGAAGTGGCCCCTTGTTGGGGCCAAAGGGAAACAAAGGGGGGGAAGTCAGAAAGGGGGTCGATTTCCTGCCATTGGACCAAGCAGGGTGTTCAATCAAACCCGTGGCCCCTCAAAAAAAAGGTCCCCCTTTTTTACGTGGCTTCAAAGGAAACTCAAAAAAACACGTTTTGTAGGGGTCCCCTAAAAAACACACGCACACACACACACACCCTTCAGTTCGGTGGCCGCGTATTATCCCCTCCTTGGATGCTCCCACGAAGACGGCGACGCTAATGGCCATACACCTCTGCCCTGCCGCCCCACAGGAGGCACCCACCAACTGGTTCACCACGCTCTCCTTAGCTGCGAGCGACAGGTCAATCACCTTTTATAGGTATGGCGCTTGCCATTTCTTTGACCTGGTCTTCGGGAACAATGAGAAAAAAGTCTGTTTCCAAAAGGCAGGTGTTAACAGCCCCAGGTCATGTCTCCGGATCCGCGTCCGGCAGCACGATGGCATGGTTCTTGGCCCCCAAGTTGCACTGCGCGCGCTTCCCGTTCTTCCCCGCGCGCTCGTAGATGTGGGCACCCGCCGCGTTGCCGCCCACGAAACTCACCGCGCGGATGTGCTCGTTGTCGCACATGAAGTTCACGGTGTCGTGCCCCCCGTGCACGACGTTCAGAACACCTCCCAGGGAGGGCAATGCAACTGGTTTGGTCCAAACCGCCTTTTGAACCTCCTGGCTCTTTTCTGCAAAGGGTTGGTGGTCTCCACATATTTTGCAACACGAAAACTACCCAGTTCGGAAAATTCCCACACCAGCGGCCGGGAAACAGGGGCATCCCTGGATGAGTTTTAAGGGTCAACCAAAATTTGCCCACCCTGGGCATAGATGGCACCTGGTTTCATTGGGAGGTTCTGTTTGGAGATCAGGGGGTGGTTTAAACATATTCAATTCAATATGGAACATGTTGATGCTTTCCTCAACTAGACCCGTTTTGTTTTGTTGTCAAAAGCTCATCAGCCAACAGGGGCTCCGCCCAAAATTTTCCGATTCCCCGAAACGCCTGGCGGCAGTCCGCAGTCATTGGCCATCTCTGCGAGCTTGATGGAGGACAAGGGCACGCGCTCCGAAGGCTTCATCAAAAAGGTGTTCCCCGTGGTGGTCGCCGGCGGAAACATCCTCTGGAGTCGTCCGGGGAAAAAGGTTGAGAAAATATGTCCGGTGAAGTCGATTCCCTTTTCAGACCAACAGGAGAAAACAAACACATGTGTTTCAGCAAATGGAAGTCCTGCTGGCTCGGGTTTTGCTCTTTGAGTCAAAGGTTACTTGGGTGTTCGATTCGGCCAAGTTCGTAAGTCGTTGGTATAGGCTATGACACACTTACACGTCCTCTACGTGGGGTTGGTATTGCGGGGGTGAAAAATCCCAAGTGGCGATCCCCACTTGCTAACCTTCTTGGTGTTGGCTTCATGGAAACCCAAAGAAACTGGTAGACTTAAACCCCGGAGTGCTTGGAAACGGATTCCTGGGTTTGACGCTACTTCTGGTTAATCAAAGAATGGAACCCTCTCAAGAGACCCCAAACCAGGAACCCAAGAACTGGGTCAAGGGGGACCCCCCAAAAGTTCAACAGGTACAAGCACCAGCCGAGCATCCACAAAGGGATCATCGCTGGGAAGTTGAAGGGCGCGATGCCAGCGCAAACACCCAAAGGCACGCGGTATGAGTGAACGTCCACGCCTTGAGCAACATTGGGAAGCGTTTCCTCGATGCGCTGCGAAGTCGTATTGAGGAGTACACCAGGGTGAAAGTAGGTGGCACAATTCCCTTTCTGCCTGTCACTAAGGGGACTGCTGAAACCAGATTGTTTTGGGGGTGGGGAGGGGATCGTGCCATGTACTTTCATGCAAAAATTGGCTTTGAACAAAGTGCGGACTTCAAGTCGTTCGCCAAAGAGACAAAAAGGCGTACCACGCAAAGTCAGGCTTCACCCTGAATCATAGAAGGGATATTGCAGGACATCTCCACCACCTCCAGGCCACGGAAAATGTCACCCTTGGCGTCTGCGATGGTCTTTCCTTGCTCCTCCCAGAGCGCTCTGAAGGCCCTTCCCCTCACTTGGTAGAGTTTGAAGCGGGACATTCTGCGGTCGCATCATTGGTATGTGTGACATGCCGGTACAACATCGCTAAAGGCAAATCACACTTGCTCGATGGCTTGTACAAGGTGAGACATGCCACAGGTGAAGAGTGGCACGTTCCGGCAGTGCTGCCCGCGGCAAGCCACTGGTCAATCATTCGATGTCCGATGTCTTTGCTTACAGGCCCATTTTGGGGGATTCTCATCAGATGGTGGAGCCGGTTTTGGTTGGTTCAAGGGAAACCTTCAGGAAAATCTACCGAATCCTGGTTTTTGAGAACATGTGAGCACCCGCTTCACTTTGAATCACGCCTCTTTCCTCGGTTGCTGTCTGCTCCCCTGCTAAAAGTTTAACTTTTAGTGGTTGAATGGACGACCCAGTAGTTGGCAAAAAGTTGAAGTCCTAACATCCAAGCAACCCGTTCGCAAGGAGATGCAAAGAACATGTCGACTCTCGCTCCTCCGTCAAGGTTTTGGCCAAGTCATCCGTGTTGTCACGGATGGCTGCTTCCAGCTTGTGCCTCCGGAACGCGAAGCTGAGCGCGAGCTTTCAGATGGTACCCATTTAAAAAATCGGTTGCAACAATTAAAAGAACTGGGAACTGGAGGTTCACATAACCACCATGGTTTACAAGGATGGTCATCATCCAAATGAGTCAACCATTCTTTTCATAGGGGTTGAGCCTGGTTGAAGTGGGGTACAAATGGAAGTGGGATTCAAGCCACAATAACACTGGGGATTCATACAACCACATGACATGATTTACCCTGCAGTTTCATCCAAATTCGGTCCCACCCTTTCCACCTTGTAAAGGAAAACCTAAAGGAAAGCGGATAAATCCATTTTGGAGCTCCAAATCCCGAGTTTGACGCATGTGATGTGCAGAGTTTTGCTTCTCAACTCAGCTTTACTGAGTGCGGGACATAGAGGACGAGCTTTAAGATCTCAACATGTCCAGGGGAAGCAAGTATTTTTGACCGTGGCTCATTTGGGGGTCTTTATGGGGGTTCCCCCCTTTGGTTGGTGAGCTTTTCAGAGAGCCCAGAACAGAGCAGCGACATGGCATCCTGAGCCATTTTTTGGCAGCCGGTCCGCCCAAAGTTTCAGCCGGCGTCACTGAGCATGCATAGCCGCATAAGTGCACAGGCACAAATTTGATGCCTCCAAGTTGGAACTTCCCCAGCACCTGGATTTCATTGGTGGCATTAAAGGCAATAGGACCCCTAAAGTGCCACGTGCTCCTTTGGTTTCCCTGAAACACCCACCAACTGAAAGTTCCTCAACCAAAAGCACACTCAAAATCACTTCGTTTACGCTTTGGATTGGCGGTTTGGAGGGTTAGGATTGGTTTCCCATGTACTTTCAGGGGTTCAAATCCAAATCCAATCCACCAATCCAAGCCACCCAGTCACCAATGAACGGTTGCCTGACAAATGGTGGTTGATCAATATTCCTGGCCCATGTTCCAACCAATGGTCATCCCGTGTTCATCGGACCTTTTAACATCAACCCCCAAATCTTGCTAGTGCTGAGAAGGGAATGCTGAACTGTAACAGAATCCCCGGGTTCATTCCCTCATTCCCTTCCCATCGCACCAGTTTGACATGGCTATGGGTCAAAATCAGGTACCCCCAACGAACATCGCAATCCCCGCTAAAATAGACCAAAATGGGTGGTGCACCTACCAACCAAAATGGGATCCTATTTGGTTTTGACAACCACGGCAAAATCACATTCCATAGCTTCCCTTCCAGTAAAATAGAACCAGTGGGAGGGTACATTGGAGTATCATTCTCTTGTAGGGACCCCCGGTCAGATGCCATGTTTGTGGGAGGAAGGGTACCTATCGCACCAGCAAGACAAATCCCCACTAAAATAGACCAAAATTGGTGGTGCACCTACCAACCAAAATGGGATCCCATTTGGTTTTGACAACCACGGCCACATCTCATTCCCTACCCTCCCTTCCACTAACATAGCACCAGTGGGAGGGTACCTTGGAAGATCATTCTCTTGTAGGGACCCCCGGTCAGGTGCCATGTTTGTGGGAGGAAGGGTACCTATCGCACCAGCAAGACAAATCCCCACTAAAATAGACCAAAATGGGTGGTGCACCTACCAACCAAAATGGGATCCCATTGGTTTTGACAACCACGGCCACATCTCATTCCCTACCCTCCCTTCCACTAACATAGCACCAGGGAGGGTACCTTGGAAGATCATTCTCTTGTAGGGACCCCCGGTCAGGTGCCATGTTTGTGGGAGGAAGGGTACCTATCGCACCAGCAAGACAAATCCCCACTAAAATAGACCAAAATGGGTGGTGCACATACCAACCAAAATGGGATCCCATTTGGTTTTGACAACCACGGCCACATCTCATTCCCTACCCTCCCTTCCACTAACATAGCACCAGTGGGAGGATACCTTGGAAGATCATTCTCTTGTAGGGACCCCCGGTCAGATGCCATGTTTGTGGGAGGAAGGGTATCTATTGCACCAGCAAGACAAATCCCCACTAAAATACACCAAAATGGGTGGTGCACCTACCAACCAAAATGGGATCCCATTAAATTTTTGACAACCACGGCCACATCTCATTCCCTACCCTCTTGACAACCACGGCCACATCTCAGTCCCTACCCTCCCTTCCACTAACATAGCACCAGTGGGAGGGTACCTTGGAAGATCATTCTCTTGTAGGGACCCCCGGTCAGGTGCCATGTTTGTGGGAGGAAGGGTACCTATCGCACCAGCAAGACAAATCCCCACTAAAATAGACCAACATGGGTGGTGCACCTACCAACCAAAATGGGATCCCATTTGGCTTTGACAACCACGGCCACATCTCATTCCCTACCAGTGGGAGGGTACCTTGGAAGATCATTCTCTTGTAGGGACCCCCGGTCAGGTGCCATGTTTGTGGGAGGAAGGGTACCTATCGCACCAGCAAGACAAATCCCCACTAAAATAGACCAAAATGGGTGGTGCACATACCAACCAAAATGGGATCCCATTTGGTTTTGACAACCACGGCCACATCTCATTCCCTACCCTCCCTTCCACTAACATAGCACCAGTGGGAGGGTACCTTGGAAGATCATTCTCTTGTAGGGACCCCCGGTCAGGTGCCATGTTTGTGGGAGGAAGGGTACCTATCGCACCAGCAAGACAAATCCCCACTAAAATAGACCAAAATGGGTGGTGCACATACCAACCAAAATGGGATCCCATTTGGTTTTGACAACCACGGCCACATCTCATTCCCTACCCTCCCTTCCACTAACATAGCACCAGTGGGAGGGTACCTTGGAAGATCATTCTCTTGTAGGGAGCCCGGTCAGATGCCATGTTTGTGGGAGGAAGGGTACCTATCGCACCAGCAAGACAAATCCCCACTGAAATAGACCAAAATGTGTGCACCTACCAACCAAAATGGGATCGCATTCAGCCACATCTCATTCCCTAGCGGTACCTATCGCACCAGCCATACATCTCACCCCCGCACCTCCGCAGAAACCAAGACAAGTCGAATCGCCGAGGCGCATGACCCGCGCCCGCGCGGAAACCGGCGTGGTGCGCCAGGACTTGAAGGCTTCCGCGCAGCTGTCGGCCGCCTTCTTCAGCCTCGCGACGCCGGGGATTGGTTCGGTTCGAAAAGACCCACATGTCACATCACTTGCTGAGTGGATGGCCCAAAAAGAGTCCAAACTTTATATTTACCACCAAAATCTGACCAAAATGGTTTTCCCAAAAAGTTGAAAGTTCATGAACTCAGGAAGTGAGTGTCAGGCCTGTGACACAGCCAGCGGGAGAGGGAGCCTAGCCCACTCGCTCGTATTAAGCCCCCAATCTGTATTTGGGCTCCCTCCCAAATAAGGCCCCATGGAAATGGTGAACTAGAATGGTGTACGCAAATCCATCGCAAATACTTCAGCCCTGTGGGGCCACGCCTATAAACGAGCAAAGCACCACTGTTTGGCAGCCGAGACATCCTCTCCATGGAGCAATGCCATGCTCTCTCGCAGCTGAGATCGTATCAATATCAGCGGTAAAACAAAGCGATGCACTTGGCATCTAGGGACAGCTGTACGCAAAGAATTGCAGAAAAAGGCTAATGCCAGCATGCGCTCTTCTGGTGAACTGAGGTACCAAAATGTCCGTTTGCGCTTTCAGCTGTCATGACAGCTAGCATTGCAGCGGGTGGGGAGATTGAGGAACGAGATAACTAGCAGCTCGGAGGCTGAGACTCGAGGCCATGTTGGCACGTGATTAGACGCAGACGGTAGTGGAGCTGTCTTACATCTTCCTACGCCGAGCTGACGTGCGCGTCCAGGAGTCCACGTGCACTGCTTTTTTGGGGCTTACTTGGGCTTTCTACCAACCCCGGCCCCCAATAAACTTTGGGCGGGCGATGTTTATTTATTTGTTGTTAACCATCACAAAGTTGAGCCGAGCTCTTGGTAAGTGCGATGAAATCTCGGCCACTTCAGGCTTCTTCTGTACGTACAAAAGAACAAGTGGGGACACGGGAGCGGGGATATGGGGGGATTCCCTTGGCGCCATTTCAAACTTAGTCAAGATGCATTTAGGGGGAATCCTCCCCTATCCCTGGGTCCCCTTCTATCCCTGCTAGATTCTGCCCCTGTTCTGCCCCTTTTCATTTTCCCGTCAGGCGTGCAGCGCTTGCTGCCGTGCTGCTCTGCTGGGGTGCACTGCGGCGTCCGGGCGATGAGCTCTCCTCGGGGCCGGCAGCATGTGAGCGCCAATTTGTTGGGAGAGTGGGAAATCCCAAAAAAACAACGAGAGGGGAACAAGCGACGGACTTGTCCACCAGAATGGTCAAAGGGAAACCTTGCTACCCTGATCTACTGTTGTTTTGGGGGCATGGCTTGAAACAACATGCTCGCTGGCGGCGAAGCTTCGCCAATCTGCCACTAAGCTGATGACGACTCAGCTGTGTTCAGTTTGGGGAAAAGTGTTGCTCAAAACGTATTGTGGGTGCGTGTCAAAAATAGAGATTTGGACCCCAAACGTGTCAAACCAATCAGAACAAACGCGCACGCGCCCACACACACACACACAAACATCTTATCCATCTATGCACATTTAGTCCATCAGCCACGGTCGACATTGCGAAAGGTTTCCCCAAGGCATTGGACAATTGTTTGTATAAAGAATTGAGAGCTCGTTCGCCGTAGTTCTCACCTTCGGAGGCTGAACAACTTTCTTCGGCGTCGAGCTGGCTCCATGTCGCGAACCCCAAATGGATCAATCAAACCGGAAATTTCGACCAACCTCCCATGAGCAGCGCCCACAACCCATTGCTTTGGTTCTAGCGACACGGCTAGGTATATAGAAGCCTCACTATGACCCCACGAATCCGGGATGGCAGAATCTCTTTTTGGCCAAACACAAGTCGGGCGCGATATGCTCACATACGTGTTCAACGCGCAGAAAGGTGACCTGACTGCCGATGCCGCCTCCGCGCCTTCGGCTCCGTCACGGGTCATGGCGAATGATACTACGCGGATTGATGCTGCTGTACTCTGCATGAATTGCTAAAGCAACGAGAGATGGAGTGAGGACAGCTCCCTTGAAACAGCAAGCCCAGGCCCTAAGCAAAGACACGAGTCTCACGCAAGGGAATGGGAATCCCAATTTAGCAGCGCCCAACGCGCACGACCTCAAACTTAGCGCCAGTTGATCGGCGGTTTATCCCAGCGATTTTTGAACATCCCAACTGTGGGCATGTTCAGTTGGAAACCAGCTGGTTCCACCGGATTGGCAAAAAAAAGTACCCAAACTTCCTGCTGAAAATGGTCCACCCCCACAAAGTGACGAAAGTCCGAAACGGAACTCAGGGAGTGAAATGAGTTTCGGCATTCCCAAAGTCAACGCCCCCGAATTGGTTCTGAGTGGAGCCTCCCGCTCCCCGAGCCATCCGCGCTTTTGGCGGAACCGAGGCGCCGGTGGCCGGATTGTGGACGTCATAAAACTGGGTGGCCTCCGACTGGACCTTCTTGCCATCGATGATCATGGGCACCTTAACCAGTAGCTCAGTTGAGTCACTTGCTCAAAACTCGGTACACAAATGGTCGATTCCCAGAACCATGCTTCAAGAATTAAGAAGGCAGATATCCGCAGCTATTTATGGCTGGGACCGCCCCAAACTAACCTTCACTTACCCGGCTTTATCCGGGTTTTGATTGTGGCTCAGTTGTTCAGTGACCCTGGAAAAAAAGGGAACCCTTTTCGGGGCTTGGACCATTTTTAGTGGGGCAGCCACCACAAAAAGGAAAAAGGGTGCCACTGAACAACTGAGGTAGACAACGAACTGGCGTGGGATAGCTCTCAACAAGATGCCAACGAAGTGTGTCGAACTACCCTCCATGGGTGTGTTGTTGTTTTTTGCCCTTTTCGGGTTGGTTCGAAGGAAAACCAAAGGGACGCCGCCAGCTTTGGGGCTCCAAATCCTTGATAGAAATAGACCCATGCTGCAAGTGGACCAACCACATTATGGGTAAAGTACATATCACAGGGATCGTCTGGTTCCACTGGCAATTGTTCATGCTTGGGGCATCCGCATGTGCCATGGTCGAAATGTCTCATACCCAGGTAACCCACTAAGTGGCGGTTTGGATTGGTGGTTTGGGGATTGGAACTCCTGGTTCTTGTAGAGGGAAAATGGAAAACCACCACCAGCAATCCAAACCATCAATGAAGGGGAAGCTGAAACTTTCGAGAGTCCCCTGGTTTTGTGAGAAATTTAGAGTGTCCTGTGGGTCCCTTCACACATGGACTATTTACTACAAGAAACTTTACCGGAGTCTGCACATATAAAACTAAACCAGTGGAACACACAGACAAACACACACGCACACGCGCACGCACACGCACACGCACACGCACACGCACACCCACACACACACACACACACACACGACACACGACAAACGACACACGACACACGACACACGACACACGACACACGACACACGACAGACGACACACGACACACGAGACACACACTCACACACATGCACACGCACACGCGCACACACACAGACACCCAGGCACGCACGCACGCACCCACCCACCCACACACACACACACAAACACCAACACCAACACAAATAAGCACAAGCACAAGCACAAGCACAAGCACAAGCACACACAAACAAACACACAAACACACCAACACACAAACACAGAAACACACAAACACAGAAACACAGAACCACAGAAACACACAAACACACAAACACACAACCACACACACACACACACACACACACACACACACACACACACACACACACGCACACGAACACACACACACACACACTCACACACACACACATATACCACACACACACCGCACACACACACACACACACGCACGCACGCACGCACGCACGCACGCACGCACGCACGCACGCACGCACGCACGCACGCACGCACGCACGCACGCACGCACGCACGCACGCACGCACGCACGCACGCACGCACGCACGCACGCACGCACGCACGCACGCACGCACGCACGCACGCACGCACGCACGCACGCACGCACGCACGCACGCACGCACGCACGCAACCACACACACACACACACAACACAACACACACACACACACACACAACACAACACAACACAACACAACACAACACAACACAACACAACACAACACACCGCACCCCACCCCACACAACACAGCACAGCACAGCACAGCACAGCACAGCACAGCACAACACACACGCACACACACACACACACACATTGACAGGCACAAAAAACATGCGCATGCTTGAGGACATGCTTGACCAATCTGCGGCAAGTGCGCTGAGGCTGCAAAGCGCCTCTGTGCCCGCTGTAGAGGCATGCGACGTGCCAATGCCATAGCCTCAAGGAAGGTCATGGATATGGCTCTGTGTGACAAAATAGGGTAAAAATGTTTGTTGGTTTTTTTTTCGGGGGGGGCGGGCAAACCCACAAAAAAGACGCATAGGAGCCCCATGGCTTCAGGGTTTCCTTGTATACCACCCCAAAACGGGGTAGCCTCAAGAAGATACCCATAAATCAAATTTGCACACGCAACGCCCGTCCTTGTGGTTCAAAAACGGGAACCCACCCTAAAAAGTCACCAGATACTGTATCAGAGGGTCACGAAGAATGGTGGCACTGTGTCTGTGGACCCATTTAAAAACAAACTAGCCCTACCCTTCAGTCTAACGGGGATCCACTAGAAAACTGACCATCGGAGGGGGAGGAAGTCGTGCGTGGCGCCAAACGTCCCGACACGAGCATCCTGGTCGATGAAAGACAAGAACTGGGGGTCCAGACGCGAGCCCAGGAATGTGCAAATCAGCTGGAGACCCGGCTTAGGCTCAGGGATAGCACACTGTGGGCAAAAGCTGCATGCCGCGAAGAAACCACCACTAACATGAATGATGCTGAGTCTCTTCGACATTGTGCGGGCCTTCATACGACGCTGTGCAGAAGGAAACGACGGCTCTTTTTCCCTGTCCCTTTCCACTGGAGACGGCAGTTGGCGCTTATCAGACCGAGACGCCAAACACATCTGTGGGTTAGTGCACAGGTCAACATTCAACAAATCGAGCACCGCATCACTCGCCGCGGATGCCCCATTCCAAAAGCTGCCCCGTACGTGCGGGGAATCTTGCCCGTGGCATTGAGATCGGGCAATCGGACTGGTGCGAATCACCCAGACCTCCTGTGGCCTCCTGCGGAAAAAAGGTGCCCTGTTTTTGGGTTGATTTGAACCAAACCAGAAACCCAGGAAAGGGCACCTTCGGAGGTCTGGGATCTTCTTCTTTGTTCTTTTTGGCACCATTCAGTCGAACGCCCTGATCTCGAGAGCACAAACCGTGTACATTTGCAAAACCTTGACAGGTGAGACACCTACACCCCTGACTTGATCGAGCATACAACCGTCCTGAGAGCAGAAAGGGTGAGGTAGAGAAACCGCGTGACTAACTTGCACTCGATACCAGGCTTGGCCTGTCTGCAGGGCTGGCTACTAGGCATCCAGTTTGAAAAGCAAGCAAGAAGCACTTGGCAGCTAGGAACAGCCGAGGAACCGCCGATCCAAGCATCAGCAATCCAATGGACCTCACGAAACCAGAAAACCAGCTGGCTGTGGCTCAGAAACACGTACTAGAATGGCGCCTTGGTAAATGGGACCAATTGACTAAAACCTGCGTAACCCTAGCTCTTAAATTTTGAGCCACACCCAGCTGCCAGTGCCATACATGCCGTGCGTGCCGTACGTGCCTCGGGGCCTTGCGGGGCCATCACCGGGCACCGGGCATTACATTGGGAGGCTTCGCTCTCAAACTTGGCCATGGGTAGGAGTCCAGGTGTGAAACAGGGCCTGGAAGCAGGGCATAAGCACACGCAGCACGCACTTCCTAAAGGGTTGTTTGTATACCTGAATATGTCTGACGCCCTACTTCTTTCTGCACACACACACAAACACACACGATGCCACGCCACGCCACGCCACGCAACGCCACGCACACGCACACGCACACGCACACGCAAGCGAAATGAGGAGCACTGAGGCCAGGGCCGGAGTTTGGGCCCTTGGAACGCAGACTCTCACGTGCCTGAATTAGACCCTGGGCATGCGTCAAAATTCAACAACGGAACCGTAGGTTATAGCCCTTGTTTCATAGAGTTCCATTTTGGGTGTCTATTTGTGACCCAGGCTGCCCTCTCGGTGGTATATAACCTCCATAAACCCTGAAATTTCCCCTATTGACTTGAGTGAGTGAGGTCCAAATCGAGCCCCTAGGAGGATGGTGACAAATTACAACGTAATTGCTACTTTGAAAAGAGGACCCTCCGGAGGATCTGAGAACGGTCATAGGGCATGAAACTATGTCTCTCAAAACCACGCACTTACGTTCTTTGATAAACGCCAAATCAGTACCACACATTACATACAAGTACAAGCTGTGAACAAGGAGCATCTTGTCGTGCACCATGGTTTGGGTATCTGATGAGCCCCTGCTGATGATCCAACTGGCTTGCAACCCTCGGGCAGCGTGTGAATCTGTATACAGCAAGCAGTGGACGGAAAAATACATGGTAAGGAGCGTCTCTTAACATATCGGTCCCGTAAAGATGGTTGCTTCCCTTTTGGTTTCCCTTTACATGTGCAAGGGGGTCAGCCCGTTCTGAGAAACTGAGCCCCGATTTCAAACCGCCATTGAAAACCAAGGAAGTTACATGGCCGTGGGTCAAACATAGGTGCCCAAAATGGACCCTATTAAATGAAAACATGGACTAAAACCTGCGGTCCCCTAGCGGTTTAATTTTGACCCACACCCAAGTTTACCGTTCAGGAGCTTCATCATCAAAATGAGTCAGGAAATGGACAGGACCGCCGCCAGGTGTGTTGAGTGATACTTCTCACCCGGAAAGGAGTGTCCAGTTCCCCCCCCCCGTTCCAGAAACCTGATGATCCCCCAACGAAAAGTCCAACAAGAAGTGGCTTGAACCCTGGTTCGCCCCATAAACCCAAGTGATTTTCCCTCTAAGCTACCAACCACCGCGGCTTCAAATCGAAGTGAGATGTCTGGACTCCGCAACACCCGCGGAATCCCTTTCAGCTTCGAGCTCCCCACGGCAGCGGCGGAGGGAAGCCAGGCGGACTGCACAGATCCATGGGACTCGGCCTTCGCTCGGCGCGGGGCCGATCTGATTTTAGGGTGGTTTTCTCACTTGCTGAATGGATGGCCCCAAAAAAGTTCAAACTTTGTATTTACCACTAAAATTGTCTTCCCCAAAAAAATAAAGTTCATGAACTCAGGAAGTGAGTTTTAAAGGGACCGCCAAGCAGAAAGCCACTTGGTCATGGGGTTTTGCAAAACCCAAATCGGTTAGCCCCCAGTGAACATCCGATTCAATCCAACCACAAAAAGAGGTCCTAAAAGGGAGGGTGAATTCACCTATCCCAAAATGGGATCCCATTGGCTTTGAACCATGGCCACTTGTTTGGGTCTCTTAAAGCATACTCACGCGTAACCAAAAGGCAGAACCAGTCTTTCGGATCGGTAGCAACGCCCCGATTTGGCCTAACGGGAAAACTGAGCTGCTTCGAAGCATGCTGCTGTGTCCAGAAACCTCACCGCACTGGTCTCATTGTTTCACCAGATAGAAAGTCAGCCCTGAGGTGGTAGGTTAAAGGAACAAAACCGTTTTCTGACTTTGACAAAGTTCCAGCAACTGTCGAAAAGTTATGGCCCCAGTCGCTGTCGCTGTGGTCTTGATGACCTCCCGGCTCTGAAAACCCCTCCCAGGGCTAGTGCGTGAAAGCCAAGCCCGCTGTGGTGTTTAGAACCTCTCTTCGGGACAAGGGCGTAGGTGACCTCTTGGATCAATAGATTCGGATGTCCTGGTAAATTGGATGGCCTCAAAAAAAAACACTTTTAATCAGTACAAACCATCTATCTCATTGCCCACCGATGAAAAGAACTATGCAACTACTTTTACCTCTGGACACCACTCCACTTTTCTGCTGTTGGTGACTCTTTTCTTTGGCGGCAAACTTTGATTTGGAGCCCTACTTCGCTCCGGGAAAACACCACTTCACCTTGGTTGTGCCCTCACCAAGCCCCGAAAAAATAAAATCGCCGCGGACGAGAGAGATGCCCAGGCCTCAGCACCGGCTGGAAGAGGTTCGGGGCTGAGAGCTGGTACCTAGGCCCCGAGGCTTTGAGGGCAAGGCGGGGGCAAGCTGAAACCACCTGAGGCTTTTTATGGGAGTTGGTACCCCCCCGGGTTTTTGGGTGGGAAACCAAAAGAGAAACCGAACAGCTCTTGGTTCTTCTTCTTCTTCTTCTTCTTCTTTTTTTTTGGGGGGAACTGCAGAACCAAAAGAACAACCGAAAACCTGCTTGTTTGGGCGGGGGGCCCTTGAAAAAGACACACCCAGGTAGAAATGTCTGACCTGATTGCGCAGCAAGTGTGGCAAGAGGTTCACCTGCGCAGCATCCGCCCGACAGTAGCCATACAATTTGAGAGGTATCCTTTTGACTTATCTGAGTGGTCACAAAAACTTGAAGTTTCCGTGAGTCCCGTATTTATGGAGAATTTACCAACTCACCCTCCCTGCCACTAACATGGCTCCTGGATGAAGGGTCTCTTTAGTTGTCCAGGTACCCTCCCACAAATGTTGTGTTAGTGGGAGGAAGGGCAGTGAGTCTCCCATTCTCCAAATTCACCCTAGACAACCAGTAAGTTGTACCGAACGAAAGCTCCAGCCTCGGCTCTTGCCACGCCTGCGGCAGGTCTTGAAGACGTTTCGTTGCCAACAAGCTGCATCTGCGTCAAACGAACTTGGCGCAAACCCCGCCCCAACATCATTGCATGAAAAATCACTTAAAATCAACACGTGGACCTGTCGTTGTTCTGTCTACAAAAAAGAGGTGCCCTCAAAAGCAGAGCCAGCCCATTCCAACGTGTCCTTCAATAAAGCGATTGATCCAAACAGAAACCTCCAAGGCCCTAAGGCCTGCGGAGGTGAGGATGTCCAAGGCCTCGGGTTCGAGGCCATGGCCATAGCTTGCGGTCCCGGAAAACCAAACAAAAAGACATCCGGTTGGCTCCTGGGCTCGAGGCGAAAGAAAACGCGTGAAGGTGGGTTGCTCCAGCTTTTTTTGATTGCATGGAAAGTGAGTCCAAGCTGATGCCCTGCTAAGACTGAATCACTTGTGGGTTGAATGCTAAAGACAACTAGAAACCTAAGGAACCGGATGGCTGGGAGCCACCAAGGATGGAGAACCCACTTCGGGTCCAACTCAGGAATCGACTTTGCGATTGTCTCAGGCAAAGGCTGCTGATACCCGGCGCCAAGGCCTTCAAATCGGGCAGGTGCCAATTTGGCTGTTCCCTTAAAAAAAAAAAAACGGCTCAAGCCAATGGCTACCTGAGTGGATCCATTCACCTGGTTTTGTAGGTTACCACGGGCGGGAACCACCCTTCCAAAAACCAACCGGAAAATAGCGGGCTATCTACGCAATAACAGCTTGCTCGGGATGCAACACATGTGGCATCCAGTGAAACTGCCCAAACCTCTAGGCGGCTTCCAAACCCCGGAACCTTCGAAGGAGTGCGGAACCGCATGGATGTGGAGAAGTGCTGCATGGCACCGTGACAGCTCGCAACCACTCCCCGCCTAGCTGGGTAGGTGGCGGAAAAGGTGGCTGCCAGTGGTGCCTCGAGTCATAAGTCATGAAGCTGCCACTAGCGTGGGTTGCAAATGGGGTTTCAAAAAACAGCCCCGATTCAGTCCCCGCGTTGCGTGCCATGTCTTGATTGATACTAAATTTATACTCTACGTATCACGCACTTTGAAGTATAACTTGCAGGAACGCTCGCAAACCAAAAGAACCATCCTGGCATCGCAAGGAAAAGGAGAAGTGTTGCCAAGCAGTGCGTGTGGGCCCAGAACCCTGGACCGCTTGCACTCGGGCCTGCAAGATTTGTATAGATAGCTCTTGAGCCATCATTCTTGGAACTGCAATATCAGTCCGAGGTCACACATAGCAATGACAGCGCATGTGGGCATATGATGCCACCATCCGCAAAGTTCTGCTCCCATGGGCAGCGGAAAAAAAGGCAAAAGCAAGGGCAAATCCAAAGGAAGCGGATAATCCAAGCGAGATGCTGCAAAGTGGAGGAAGAGGGACCAGGCACCTGGGAGCCCCAATTTCCCAGCATAGTACTCCTGAAGCTGCCACGCCTGTGCGTGCATCGCCTGAGGCACAAATGAACAAGACAAGAGCTGTTGCAACAATCGAGTCCTTCCAGCCCAACTGGACGAGTTTGTAGGAAGCTATGAAAGAAAGATTCGAAGAGAAAGCCAGCAGGAGCAAGCAAATCTGCTTGCCGCGTACCGGGACCTCCTCCTGACAACTGAGAGGGGGCCCGACTACGCTAATTAAGTGCACACCGCTGCGTCTGACCAGGACTCTGTGCGCTGAGAGAGAGAGAGAGCGAGAGAGAGAGGTATGTCAACATGTTTAAACAGGGATTTTGGCTCACGCATGTCAAGTGTACAGTGCATAAGCTGAATGTCACACTCATCGTGCTGCGATGACGTGATCTGAGACGGAAAGAACAACGACATGAGTCACACTGTTGCGCTGTTGGACCAAAAACAACAGGATGGATAAAAACCAGCAACTTGTGGAAGAAAAACCGCTTGTTTGGGGTGTGAATGTTATTCTCTTTAAATCAAAGAAAACACGTCACTTGCAGGTCTTGTTCATTAAAACAAGACAGTGCGTACAAAAACGAAACAAGAAGAAACAATACCTGGTGCCAGGATTCTCTTCGTCAACCGCTGAGCACTGCTCAGTAAGACCGTCCGAGTCCCTGGCCCGTTGCCAGCCTCTCGTGCTTGTCGTGTCCAAACTTTCCGGGAGAGCTGGGGATTTCCCCTCCCCCAGAGACCAGAGAGAGGCGCTACTCCTTTTCGTTGTTTTGTTGCAGCCCTTTGATTTCCGGGCGGCATGAACAAAACGATGTGTGTCATGTCTTGATTAAGTTGAATGAGCGCACAGCGAATTAGTTTCGTTCGATTGGATGGTCGTGGTAAAGTACTTGGATCCTCATTAGTTGCTTGAAATTGTGAAGGGTTGATCGAAGTACAGTATGCCTTTTTGGGGCTGGTCTTTTTTATGCTTGGACCCCCCCAAAAAGAAAAAGAAGAAGAAGTTGTTTTCCTTTTGGTTCTACCCTGAAAAAAGACACGCATGGGGGGCAGCCTCGCAAAGTGTGTGGCAGCTCTGCCAAGTGTTTCGGAAGCGCCTGAGCGCGGCCATTGAACACCTGAGGCAGACAGGTTTCGCCAAATTTCTGGTGCAGACGAGCTGAATCATCCACGGAGTGTCATTGTTTGAATACAAAACGGCTTGGAAAAGGATGTTTTTGTTTTCCTCAGAAAACCAGTGTTGGCAACCACTCATATAGTGTCTTTCCCGGAGGGTACCAAAAGGGGTGGTTTTCCAGGAAATCAGTTTTGGAAATCACTCATTTTGGGAGCTTCCTGAGACAAATCCATGTGTGGGGCGCTTGACAGCATGTATTTGCGGCCAGGAGTTTGACGACTTGGCCAGTTGATATCCTGAGCACCCGGGCAGGTGGCGGAATCCTCGGAGACCGAACGAGAATTCCTTTCAAGCAATACGTTGGTCTTTGGCCCCCCAAAAGTTAAACTGCGCGAGCAGAAACAAAGGCGTCATTTTCCAGGCCCTTTCGCCCACATTGCGTGCGGGGGTATCACGCCGACCCAAAGGCTAAAAGCTTGTCAAGAGCCACTAGGTCCTCCAGATTTGAGAGGTTCGAATAAGGGTACCCTTTTTTCTGTAGTCTATTTTGGTACAGGAACCCTCCCCAAAAAAGGGTAGAGAAGTGCACCTGGGACCAAGCGAAAAGGTCTTGAGGGTAGCCTTGCCGGTCGGAAGCCAAAGAGAAACTGCCCATGAGTCCATGGAAGCTGACTGACTCACTGGAAACCATGTTCCTCCATTTGGGTGTGTCGTTCTTAGACCCACGGTTGTTCGCCTTTTGGCTTCCCTTCAAAATTCCAACCACAAAGGGTACCCTTCCTCCCACTAACATGGGACTTACTGTGGATGGACGAAATCCTGCACCACTTTGAAACCACCGGGAACCATTGTTTGCTTGCTATTTACAAGGGACTCATCAATCCAGGGTTTCTTAGGTGGTGCGAATTGGATTTATTCCATCCACATGGGGAGGTGCCTGGAAGATGATATTCCTTTTGAAGGGACCACTTTTTTCTGTCAGAGGCCGGGTACCCAAAACGGGTACCCGTAGGAGCACCCGTAGGAGCCCCGACTCCGGCCGCTCCGGCTCCGCTCTCTGCTCCGGCCGCTCCCCCGGTCGCTCGGGCACCTCCCATGGCTTGGATTCGAATCCCAAAACAACGGGGCGGCTTGCTGCTATGACTGTGTTCCCCAATTCTGTCGTAAAGACCCAGGTCTTGGAGTTGCAAAACTGCTTGTTCTCTGCTTTGAAATGAATACCCTCCCACTAACGTGGTGCACAAACACCTTTGTGAAGACTACTTTCATGTTCGGCAGCCGCCAAAACTGGTGGTACCCCTTTTGGTCGAATGGAAAAAGTCATGTCTTTTTGAATGGCACCGAATCGGCTCCCATTCGAATCCATGGACACAGAAAACTCCCCTTGCCATCACATGTTTTCTCGGCAATGCTGAGCAATGGAAAGCTGCAAAAGCAATGCGTTTTCGAATTTGGTTTGCGAACCCTCTGCTGCGAATCGGAAAAAAGCAGCGCCAGTCAAAGGCGGCCTTGCGCTTACCTGCTGGATCTAGCTTGAGAGCGATGGTCTTTTTGTACCTTGGACGGTGTGGGGCCAGAAGTTGCGAGAAAAAATCGCTGACAGTGGACATTTCTTGGATGCTTGACCCGCTTAGTAGGTTAGTAATAACAAGGGTTCTAAGGGAACCAAGTTATGCTACTGAGTTAAACATCCAAGTGGGTGTCCTTTTTGAGGATACCCCATTTGTGTGGCTTTAAAGGAACACCAAACGGACACACTCAAGTAGGGCTTCTCCTCCTTCGACTTTGCAAACAACTCTTGTCCATGCCCCGAACCTCAAGCAAAAACCCGAGAGGATATATGTGGTTCCTTTTTTGGAAGTTGGTACCCCCTCTTTTGGGCTGTTTGTTTTTCCCCGTGAAACCAAAAAGAAACCCCTGCCACTTTTGGGGCTCGCCTAAAAAACCCACGTGCCGCTTTTAGGGGGTGCGATCCCGAAGCTCAGGTGATATCCCCAGCATGCGGTGCTGTTTTTAGTGCTCGCAGCACCTCGCAGCCCTTGCAGAACCTCGTGGAACCCTGGTGGAACCCTCGTGCAACCCTCGTGGAACCTTACCTCAGGGCCGCCCCGGACCACCCCGGAGCCTATCTGGGCTAAGACCCCAGAGCTTTCAGCTGTTGGGGAAAAAAAGGCAGACACATTTAGGATTGGAGCTGCAGGAACCCTGAGTGCCAGGCTTGCTCATCAGCTCTCTGGGAACCTGTCAGCCGACGTGAACTCTCTGCAACGGGCACAAAGATCCAATGGGTCCATCTGGCTGCTCCAAAAAATTGGAATCCAAATGGCCCCTGGAGGTACATGAAAGCAAAGACCGGAATTGCTGCGCGTAAATAAACCCCAACTCTTGAGTTTTCAGCCACACCCCTTCATTTGGTTCAGACCCCTGGAAAATTCAATAACATGTCCTGTATAATATTCCCTTTAAAACCGACAGGGGAACTAAATACAACATATTCTTAAGCAAACGGAAGACCCAGTTGAGACCTCCACAAAATCTGCGCCCGGCCACGTGCCCTCGGCAAACCCTGGCCCGGCTCCTCACGGCCATCCTTGGTGTAGTCCGCAGCCTTCTCACGCACCAGCGCCTGGCCGCTGCGCTTCCCAGGCAGGTCGTCAGTTGACCGAAAAACCAGCTGCGCGATTTTCCTTTCTTTTGAGGGGAACCCTTACGTTTGGTTGTTTTTTCCAGAAAAAAACAAAAGGAAAGCCACCATTCTATGGGGGCCCCTACAAAAAAGGTGACCCTCCAAAAACGTCCCATTTGAGCGCCATCTAACACAATGAGTCAGCAAACATGAGCCACTGGAGATAAACAGAAGCATCACCTGTTTATTCCATGCCAAACAGCGAATCGCTGTCTGCTTGTCGCCTGCCTGTTCTTTGGCAACCTTCATGGCTTCCAGGCGAGAGTAGACTTTGTGCGTGTCGTGGAAAGACCTTGGCGTGCATGCTGAACGGTCCCCAGCGTACAGCTTCTGCACTTGCCGTGCATCATCAGGGTTCGTTAAAGGATACCTCCATTACTGCCTGCCTTACAGGGGGGTTCTCTAAACTACAGCTGGCAACATGTGATTTGGGGGTTGATCAAAAGGTCCTTCACATGAGATGGCCATTGAGGACAACCACCAAAAAGATGATATGTCCCACATGGGAAAAGCTACCCCTGGTCATCTTGGGGGCCAGCAAAATTGATCAACCCCCATTGGTCGCTGGCTCAAATTTGTGTAGGGACCCTGATGCTAGCTGCTGCGGGTCACTCGCTCGGGTCCTGACATGCGCTTCTCACGAGGGATGCTGTGCAGGGAGGTGTCCACGCCAATGCCTGCGACCATCGCGCGTAACAAGCACAGGCAAAGCACGGCGCCGATCCGGTGACACTGAACATGAGGTGAAAGCCAAGAAGCCAACTCAATACGCCATGTGTTTTTGATTGATTGCTTGCTTGCTTGTTTGATTGCTTGTTTGCTTGCTGCTTGTTTGATTGCTTGCTTGCATGTTGCTTGCTGCTTGTTTGTTTGTTTGTTTGTTTGTTCGTTCGTTCGTTCGTTCGTTTGTTTATTGGTTGGTTGGTTGGTTGGTTGGTTGGTTGGTTGGTTGGTTGGTTGGTTGGTTGGTTGGTTGGTTGGTTGGTTGGTTGGTTGGTTGGTTGGTTGGTTGGTTGGTTGGTTGGTTGGTTGGTTGGTTGGTTGGTTGGTTGGTTTGCGCGGATACCAGGGCTGCGAGTCTTTCGGGGCCCATCTCCCGCAGCATCCTCAGCTGCTCGCGCACCGTGCAGTCGCCCCCGCGCAGGGGGTCTCCCCAGGTGACCACCTCCCCGTCGTGGCGCAGAGCCGCAAAGGCGCAGGCGTTGCCTGGGTCAAGTTCGCCCAATGAGAATCATGGCTGGGGGGGAGGGAGGGGGGAGGGAGGAGGGGAGGAGGAGGGGAGGGGAGGGGAGGGGGGGGGGGGAGGGGAGGGGGGAGGGGGGGAGGGGAAAAAATGGAGAAAGTAGGGGGCCTGGGGGGTGGTCTGTTGAGGGTTGCCTGTTCTGGTTTTTATGTTCATCTCAAATCTGTGTTCCCCCTTATTCGTTTTTAAAAGAGGGTTTTTAGGGAGCTTATTTATCGTTTTCGTTAAGGTAATCATTTTGGTAATTGCCCCCCTTGTTCATTGTTGGGCTGGGGGCCGACATTTTTTTCATTTGAAAGAGTTGACCCTTTTAGTAGTTATCAATTTCTGGGGTGATGCTTGGTTCGTTTTACTCTCAATCTCTCACTTTCCGCTCTCGCCTCGACACCGCGTCATCGCTGACCTCATCTTCGATGGTTGTGTTGGGACACTCAGTGGATGCTGGTGTGGAGGTGCTCGTTTTTTTTCTTCCATATCCAATGTCTTGAAAGAGTCTCATTGAATGAGGCAGTTGAGTGGTCGATTTGAGCGGTCAGAAAGCATTGTGAACTCTTGTTTTTTCGCAGACTCTGCCTTTCAAGCAAGTTTGCTCATAGTGATTGACATTCCTCGTCATTCTTGTAGCAACATGGCCCCAAAGCGAGATGAGAAGATGAGCAAGAAGTCCGAGGGTTACACGTCAGAGGATGATGACCATGTTGACCCCACGGCGTCCTCTTCAACCGAAGACGCCAGCTTGGAGTCTCTCGTTGAGTTGGTCATGAAGTTGAGCTTGGAAGAGCTTTCCAACTCTTCTGAGAAGCACATGATGCTCGCCAAGCTGAACTTTGAGAAGCACAAGGTCATCGCTGACCAGCTCAAGGCCATCAACAAGCAACAGAACGAGGCAACCAAGAAGGAGAGGATGGAAGCATCCCGCGCCAAGGCAAAGGCAGAGAATCGTGCTGTCCGTGAGAAGGTGGTGAACATTAATTTGACCAATGGTGTGGTCACTCATATCATCACTACACCGTTGAACATCACCGTCGGCATGCTTCGTGTGCTTCTTGGTCAGATTTTGCGCTTGAGCAAGAAGAAGACAAAGACCATGACTTTGTCTGTGGGTGGTGCCGAGATTACCCAGACGCCACGCAAGACGTTGCTGGGTCGTCATGTTCAGGCGAACTCCTTAGTCAACTACGCCTTCCCCGACGAGACTGGGTTGATTGACAACACGGATGACCAGTCAGTTGCCCCGACAGAGGAGGAGCTTGAGAGCTTGGCGCCTGATGCCGAGGATAGTGATGAGGAGGAAGTGTCAGAAAAATAGGTTTCACAGTGAAACCATGACATCAATGCCTCTTACTGAAGCGTGAGATAAATCTCTCAGTCATGTGTTGATTTTCACATTTTACAGCTGTGTCGAGAGTTCAACACGCTCAGTATGGCAACGTTCATCATGACATTGATGAATCACAGACAAAGCATTGTCTTGCTGAAAAAGAGTTTCCCCTTCATCAACTCAGTCATTGAGTGTCTCTTATCTTGACTTGAACTTACTGCTTGTTGATTGTGGAGCTTGTCACCTTGTCTCTGGTTTGCTTACCTGACTTCTCAAGCACGCTTTTTCTCTTTCAATTCGAGTAGTACTGCCCTTCTTTGCACCTCATCATGCCTTCTGTCGTCTTCATTGAGTGTGAGACATCGGAGCAGAAGGTGCTAAAGCCCTTCTTCGTGAGTGACACTTTGGCAATCACGTCATCAACAAGGGCTTGGACACCTAACAGGGATGAGCTCAACCTCCTGACCAACAAACAGTTGAGAAAACTGTTGAGTGAGGAGGGTAGAAACATGGTGAAGTCAGCGTCCAAGAAGGAGGACCTCGTTTCTGCTTTGATATCATCGTGGCAGTCAACAGTCAAAAAGATGGAGGGTGAGTTTCATGCTTCCGAGGTAGAGGGCAAGGACTTTTCTACTTTTGCTTCGTCAAGTGGTGGAAGTGGGGGAGGAGGCGGTCATGAGTATCGTGGCAATCCTGATGACTTCGGTGATGGTTCAAGTGATGACGATGATGACGATGATGATGAGGACAGCATCCCGCCTCACGACGAACCACCGACAAGTGTTGATGACTATGACTTCAAGTTCATCACCGTGACAGTCAACAAGAACTTTGAAGAAAACACCAATGTGCAGTTTCGGGTGTGCCCTTCTTGGAAAGCTGGTTCCATTCGCTACATGCTTTTCAACCATTGGGGTGTTCCTCCTGCTGTTCAACGTCTTTTGAAGGGTAACAGTGACATCTTCTTCAACATCACCTTTGCTGAGAACAGGGTGAAAGATGGTGATAGGCTCACCCTCTCTCTTGGTCTTCGTGGTGGTGTTTTGCAACCCGCTGTTCCCAGAACGGTCCCCGACAAGGTGATGAAAGCGTTCGTGAAAAACTCCAAGAAGATGTACAACAAGCGGGTGGAGTCTATAGATGAAGTGAGCCCGAACATCCCACCCCCCCTTCAACCGTTCTTGTTGGGAATTGATAGTCAGATTGCTCAAATCAGGCAGAGGATGACTTCCAGTGAGAACGTCATCAAACAGGTTCTCGAAAACATGGAGGACTCAAAGCTCAAAGAGCTCAAGGAGACGTTTGAGCTTCGTGATGGTAGTTCAACGGAGGAGAAGTTGGCGTCCATGTCTGAGTTCTTTTGGAAGGAAATCGGCTACATCAAGGATGGCATCCCTCACATGAGAAACAAGAAGGTCATCATGACTGAGTTGTTGCTTGAGGTCTTCGGTGTTCACTACAACAAGTTCCGTGCTGGAAACCTCACTTACTCCGTTGATTCCTTTGTCAAGGAGATTGAGGGCATTGAGAGATTCCGTCTTGGTCAACGGACTGCTTTTGAGAGAGCTGAGAACACTGAACATGAAGAGGTTGCCCGAGGTTCGTGCTTGATTATGTAGAGACCGCCATTTCCTCTTTTGCGGGAAACACCACGACAAACTGTCGGGAAATCCCACGACAAACTGTCGGGAAATCCCCTGACAAACTGTCGGGAAATCCTACGACAAACTGTCGGGAAATCCATCGTCAGATTTGCTTTCGCATCACATACTGAGACAAGCATTGAGAAAAAAAAAGCTTACAGCGACTGTCTTTTGACCTGAAGGTATGAGGTATGAGGTATGTGGAGGTATGAGGTATGAGGTATGAGCTATGAAGTTTTCACCCAGCCTCGCCTTCAAAGTAAGGGAACACCGTTCCCCAAAGTAAGGGAACAGGAAACTGACCCTCCTTAATCCACATTTTCCCACCTCTTTTGCAATAGTCCCCGCATCCACTCACGCTGCTGAGGTTGAGAAGTCAAGGACGTCGTTGTCTTCAAGACTGACCCCTTCCAGGTTTGACAGTCACAGGGTTTTTTAGAGAGTGGGGCTTCTTTATTCACCTCTAAATCAAGAAACAAGGAAAACTCTAGCCAATTTGTCAATTCAATGTTTGAGCCCAAGCCCAATTTTCAAGGTTTCTTCCCTTCGACCCTTCAACACCACTTTCCACAAACCCACTAAAAGCAAGGGCATAATCCACCAGTTCCCAAATTCAGCCAAACCCCAAAATCTGAAAATCCATTTCAAGCTCATCACCAACGACCCCAATTTCAAGTTTCAAGTTCAACCCCAACCCCAACCAGCACCAATCCTGTTTGTCAGAAGGTCCGTCTCCAACGACATCAAGGGTGGAGGGTGGAAGGGATGGGTTTCCCCTCTTTATTTCAAGGCTTCACCTAAACCGCTTCGCTGTTGATGCTGGTCGCTGGTGATGCTGGTCGCTGGTGATGCTGGTCGCTGGTGATGCTGGTCGCTGGTGATGCTGGTCGCTGGTGATGCTGGACTAACTAAAACCCAAATCCCGAGCAACCCCACCAACCGAACCTGTCCCTGAAAATAATTCTAATAATTTCATATTATTAGAACTATTTAGATAATTATTTTATGGAGTAATGTCGCGAAGCTCATTAGGCTATTACTTTGTAATAGCGTAATGTCCATATGGTAATGAAGTGAAAGCATCAATATAAAACCTTTTATTTTCATAATTACTGAGAGATTGCTTGACTTGAGACATTGAATATATTTGATGCGACTTACTCCTGATGAAGTTATATGTGATTTCGTGCTTTTTGTTTTGAAATAATGCTTCGTGGTAGTTCTGATACGACAGTTCTTTTTTCACTTTGTGTTTCACTACACCTTTTGATTTCTTATGTTCATCAACCTCACCGTGAATTGTGAAGGCATAAGATTTAGGTTTTAATCCGATGAATTTAGTAATGATTTTTCCATTCACTTCGTCCTTAAACATTCCTAAGACCTTTTTATTAGTTTTGTCATGACATGGATGCTCAACAGGATAGTCGCTAAAATCCATGTGTTGCTTTATATCATTGAAATCCTTAT